CCCTCATCTCACTCCATACCTCTTGCTCCGGCTTGGGCTCGACTTTGATCAAGGTCTTGGCTGCCACCGCGAGTATTGCTAGCTGCTCGCACGCACTGTTGGTCTGGTATTGGCGTCACCCGCACCCATGTGCACAAGGGTGGCCTTCGGTGCGCACAGTGTTTCCATAACATGACTTTGAGCGGTCAAAGAGGCAACCCCCAACGGGTTGTCCAAGGATCGGAGGCGATATACAGGGCTATCCGTTTGCATACCCGCCTTTGTTTAGGCATAGCAGTTTTGCTTCTTTCATCTTTCTTCTCTGATCTTCGGGGCGGGCTTAGACCATGGTTTATCGGATAGAGACTCTGGCGTTTCTCTCAGCGTCACCCGTTGTTTCTGGCTTGCGGCATGGACAATGGCAGAGTGCAAGGGTTCGACTGGTCAAGCTCAGTGTTGGATGTATGTTGAGTTTACAAATGTCTATGAAGCAGTCATGGACAAGCTCGGTTGGTCGGGCTATATCATCATATAGGAGGCAAAAGGTGATTACTCGAGCCACATCAGGTCCGAAACTGGAGAGTTTCTCGTCTGGTCTTGGTTACGCAATTGCATGCAACAATCTCTAGCACCCCCTTCCCACGTCCCAAGCATACATCGAGGTGTTTTCTTGATGGCGGATTTCATGCGTTGGGGGGATATAAATGGAGATCCCGCCCGCCTAGTCCTTAGCTCAGGCGACGGAGGAGCAGCAGCAACCCTGCACAGGGAAGCACCATCACACAGGCCGTTGCATAACTGAGAGATGTGTCGGTTTGCGCTACCCTCCATCGCTTCGTGCGGGCAGCCCTCTGTCTCTCCTGGAGAGCACGTCGCACGCAGTCGGACAGCGCCTGTCTCATCGCGAGTGTGCCGCCCGGTCCATGTCATCTCTCAGCCCGAGCGGCTGGACCGAGCCATGGCGGGGTCTGTGGCGGTAGGGTTTAGTGGATCCGGAAGGGGAGCTAAAGTGGCGGCCGAGGAAAGCCCGCATAAGAAAAATAAAGATAACAGGCGGTGGAAGGACATGAAAAAAAAAAGGGGGGGGAGATGACGGGACTAATAACGGGTAGATATATGGAGCGAATACACGATGACGTACGGCTTGGTCGCCCACTTGTACCTTTCTCGCCTGGGGGCACCTTGTCGACGATGTCACGTGACGAGCATGTTTGGTGGTGCCTACGGCCGTTGCCAGCCGAGTCCGCCGAATGGGTGCCGAAACAGTAGGCAAACAGCCAATTTCGGACAGCCAGCGGCGGAGGAGTAGGAGGAGGAGGGGCAACCTCGTGCGGCCCCGCTAAATCTGGCACGGAAGAAACAAGGGGCCTAAAAGCGGGCTCCGTGGTTTATCCATGCGAAAGAAAAATGGCAAAAAAAGCGGCTTGCAGTCGAGAACCCTAGAAGATGGAGAGAGTGCAAGCGAGGGACGGGGGGTTAAAGGTTGAACGTCTCGGGAAGCATGGTGGTGGCGGTCACAGCAATGCTGCTTGCTACCCCTCCCCCGGGCCACCTACCCACCACCCCAGGCGTTTGATTTCTCGATTCCCGCACACCCGCCTCCCTGGCGCTGGCCGGGGGGCTTGCCTGCTGTCTGTCTCTGGGTCACTCGCTGCATCATCCGAAATCTTTTTCTGGCGATTTCCTCTCTCCCCTCTCTAAAATGCCCGCACGGGAAGGTTTGAGATGCGCCGGGTCTTTGCTAGCGCACAGTGGCTGATTCGCAGATATTGGACAAGACGTCCACCTCGTCGGGAGATTTAGGGATCTGTATGTATGAATACAGTTATGCAGCAAAAGTCTGTTCCATCTTCACAGTGCACCCGCTAAATAGCAGGTTTTCAACTAACTTTTAAAATTCACCAAAATATACTACAAATGTTGGTAGGAGTCTGGTACTCCTGTTAAACGGCTCGGAGATCTCCTGTAGAGGGTGAACAAAGATCTCTATGATCTGGGGAAAAGTCCTATTATTGTGCACGAAGAGGAAGGAATCTATCTGCCAGAAGAAGGGCACAGGATTGCCCGTTATATGCACAGGGACGATCACCCAAAAGGGTGGTTCCCTGCTCTGCCTAAGGCAGATAGTGTTGGCCCGTGCGGGACCCGGAGGATCCCGGAGCCCTCGTAACAACCTCTTCTCTCTGGATCGCACGCGCACAGAAATGCTGTTCCAACAACAAAAGAAATAAAGTAAAAAGTCGATTTTCAATAACACCAGCTACGCAACGTACTAATTTTATTAGATAGAAATACATTTTTGTTAAGTAATTGCGGAATAAAAAAGATTATTTCCGGGATACAGTGCGAATGCAATTTTAGTATGGCGTACATACAGTGCGAGGTTTTTCGAAATGCAATGCAATGCAAAAAAATTATTTACGCTTTAATTAAGTACAAAATGGTAAATTTAATGCTTTTATCGTATATAAAATACCTCCGTTTATTTAGTTAACTCATTGCTAGACTTGTAGCATTTTTTGTTGATTTTTTAATTGTTTTTAAAAAAGTGCGTGTTTTTGCGCTTAACTATGGTGCACTGTACACCTGGGAACAGACTTTTGCTGCATGACTGTAGAGCCTTCGGTACCTTTTTTACTCTTTCGTTTTTGTTTGACCGCCGCCAGCGGGGTCTCATATAGTCCTACCATCCCCCTCCCTGGCCATGTATCCCTTAGTGCTCCCTCAAGCCGGCCAATCCATTTTCCAACGCCGGCCAAGAAAGCCGTGATTGCCCGCACACGCCAAACTTGGAGCCAGCGGACACGAGTGACGTGCGTGCATGCACACGGGCGCACGGGGAGGAGGAAACAAGAAGGCCGTGCTTCGGGTGACAACGAGGGATCTGACTGCAGATGTCAGCACACTATGGTTGCACGACATGTCCATGCAGAACAAATATTCTTCTGGACCGTGTCTGATTTCTCAATCTTTTATGGTCTTTTTTTTAAAAAAAAAAAAAAATTTGCCTATTTCTTTGCTCCATAGCCTCCTGCTACCAAGGGCCGCCATTTTCTAGAGGACACTATGCGTTCATGCACCACATCGGCGTCTGTTCCGTCATGCTTCATCGACGCCAGTGTGATATACAACGTCGCCTAGGTTGCCATCTCGGATATCGATGGATTTAACGGACACATACACACGCACTCACACACATTCGCACACACACTCACACCTCACACTTAAATGCGCAATACACCCACACTAGGGGCAAACAACCAAAGTGGCACAACCCGATATAGCCGTCCGTCCAGTACATGCACACCGCCGCTCTACAGACACGCCTCTTATATGCGCGCTAGCCCTAGTCGCGGTTGCAAGCAGGAAGCAGTCCATCCATACACGAGGGAGTGGGGGTGGGGATAGGTCCGTAGTACACGTGTGTGTGATAATGTAACTTCAAAGCAGGCTGCCGTGGCGGCTTGTTTCGAGCTTCTTCCGTCATCTGGAGCCAGGACGGCCCAAGCAAGGGGCGCAAAAATATGTGCCCCAATTCTGTGTCGATAAGGGAACGCACGTGTGGGCACGTGTGGGCACGTGATTTTGAAATGTGATTTTGAAATGTGAACCTTTGCCGTCGGTTAGCCGACAGAGTGACCTCAAGGAAAAAGAGAAAACAATGGCAAAGTACGTGCGCGATAATCGAATGGCACCACGGAACAAGAGGGAAGAAAAAAAGGTCTGTGCGGAAAAGTTCTTTCCTTCAACCAGGGCAAGCCCTCAGCCATGGCTGTCCAGAGCCAAGACCATGGGGTGTCCCGAGCAGAGGCTCGCGTGGAAACGGCCAGAGTGACGGGGTGCGCAAGGCTGGTTTTCCCACCTGCGGAAGCACACACCTTGGGACCTACCGAAGCTGGCTTAGCCCAGCCTGCGTTGACGCCGCCAACCAGGGGGGTGTGTGGGCCTGGAGCGTGGGGCTGGGCGGAGTCTCGAGCAGGGGCGTGAGGGTGTGCTGGGCGTGATTGTCGTCGGTAATATGCCAGTGAAGGGTGCCGAATGTAGACGAGACCTTGGGCAGGGCGGGCGTTTGCGGCCTCTGCTGTGTAGGCGGTACGCGGCCAGGGCGCGTCAGCAGGGTGTGCCCGGCCGGTGATGCAACCAGGCCCGGGGAGGCACTTGCTTGTTTGGCTTGGCGCTGACTGCTGAGGGCTGGCGAGCTGCGAGCCCCGCCAAGGGGTGGGGTGCAAGGGTGCCACCACACGGCCCACACCACAGCACAACCCCCCCGTGGCTTCTGGGCGTCTCGGCGCCTGGCTTGTTCGGATGTCCTTGTCCAATGTTTGGCTTTGGCTGCGAGCGGGCCACATGCCGGTGACCAAGGGTCTCCAAGGGTGGCTTGACCGATCACCTTGACTGCATCCTGTTTGTGTCCTGTGAGTGGTTGCTGGCGTTTCCCAGCGTGGAGTTGCCAGCAAACACCCCCCTCGAGGCCTTCTTCTTCTTTTCATCTCCACCACACCCCAAACAAAAGCAAGCAGGAAAAGGACGCACAGAGTCGGCGGCCCCGTGATGGTCCGAGGCCAGCGATGGGCCGTGCTGGTGGCTGCGTGCCATCGCAAGCCGCACAAAACACAAAGCACAAAAAACCCAGTGCCTGCTAGTCCCCCAACGCCGGCCTTGAAATACCCGCGGCGGGCGCCTGTAGGGAGGCCGGGTATACAAACGCACGCCAATGTCTGAATTGTGGCATTTGCGAAAGGCGATTGGTGGTTGGCTGCTGAGGGTTCGCACAAGCGTGAGTCGCCGGGCCTGAGTGGCAGCGTCTGGCCAAGCTGGCCGGTCTCGCTTTGGCACAAAGGGAAAAAGGCCTTTGCCTAATGCACCGTCCGCATCTCGACACTGGCCGTTTGATGTATCGCCCTCCGCCCTCTGGATATTAGGTACCTACCTAAGGTGCCTGCATACTGGATGGGCATGGGCGGACAGACGGCGGGTGGGCAAAATAGCCTGCGCCAACCATCCGGAAAGTAACCGGACGAAACAAGAGATCACATCCACGTCCGGCCACAACCCCAACTCGTCCCGACGGGGAAATGATGGCACGAGGGCGGGGAGGACCTTTGTCAGCAACGGGGCCACGAACCAAGTGGCAGCCGCCGCGAGCAAAGCCTACCCTCCCTTGCTTCCGCGCAGTGCCTGCCAGGCCTGCCACGTCCATCATTTGATTCCCCCCCAAGATCGGGCGTGCAGCCAAGACAGTTATTGCACAATCCCGAAGCCGCGACAATCACCACTGCTTTGCATGCGTGCCCACCACACTCTGCGCTTGTTGGCAAGGAATTTTTCGCAGCCATGATCCGTTGGAGGACGATGCTGACTCCTGCGAGGCTAAGGGGTACCTGCCTGCCCCAGGCATCCAGGACTGCTAACTATACACAGTGTGATAAGCCAGTGTGTAATTATTGGCAAACGTGCAGACAGACCACGTGCACAGTGATGCTATCAGCACTGTTCACCCGCCCGCCCGAGAGATGGATGTCTTTGCGATCGGGAATAATCGACGTGGCTGGGATGGTGTGTTCTGGGCTGCTGCTTGGGCCGAGATCCTTTGAGTGCTGTCCCTTGGGTTTTCCGCTCCACCCCTGCCCCCCTCCCCCCTTTTTGATTTGATTCCCCCTAGGTCTCGGTCGAAATGACCTCAGGTGGCTCCCAACGGTGGGCTGGTCGGTAGATCTGCCCCAAAGGATCACACACCCCTCCCGCCTGCGTTTTGGGTCAATCAATCTGGGGGAGCTTGCTGCGAGCTTGGTTCCTCCGTGTCCTACCCCTTCCCACTCATTCTCCCTGGCTGCTTGGTGGGCGCAGGCGGGTAGGTGGGCACGGGGGGGGGCGCGAGGGCGCCTCCTGCCTTGCAAGCACTTTGGTGGCGGCTCCACAGCGAGTCGCCAAGCCGCGAACCCGCAATTTGGAGATGAGGTGGCTAAAATAATACGCCGGAATTGCCTGCCAGCGCCTCGGCAGGCACGCCAGGGCACACCCATCTTTCAGGCCATAAACTCGCGGATAGGACGAACTATAAAATCACCAGCAGGCTTCTAGAACTCTGTTTGTTTCATCACCCCCCTCTGGCTGGCTTTTGGCCTTTGGTGGCTGGCGTTACTTGCCAGCGCTATTCTAATCGGTAGATGCGGCTTGTTCGATTGGTCGCATCATCCCCAGACGCGGCCGAGCGCTCGCCCTTCCCGACGCCTCGCGCCATCAACCAATATGGTCCAAAGATCAGGACTCACTCCATCCTAGATGACCACGAGTCATTGCTGCGCGTTATATCTCAATTTTTCTGTTGAGGACGTCGTGCCTCGAGAGCTCACGTCGAGCCGAATCGACACTCATTTGGCCTCCAATGTTCGAGGAAGCGCCCGGCCGTACTCTTTCTCTTGCCTTCATTTCCGAGCCTCAGCGATAAGAAGGCTGCGTGTGAGGAATCAATTGTGACGCGAGATTATCCTGCCTGCCCCCAGCTCAGCTTGACAGTCGCCGCCGGCTGCAACCTCGACTTTCTGATGGAGCCCACTTGGGCTGTTTCAACCACGCCCTCGCTACGAACGCAACACCAGCGTCAGTGCGTCCCTGGTGGGCGCCATGCCGGGTTAAGCGGGAAACCCCCCTGGACTCTCAAAACTCCGTGCTACGGTTCCGTGAACAGAAAGTGCCAAGGGAGAAGGAAAAGCACAGCCCGAGAATGATGCATGCCTATTTATACAGATTTGTCCGGATCTAGGCTGTAGGTATATGCTGCGTACAGATAGCGCGATCGAAATGCTCGCTCCGAACCGAGCGAGGATGAAAGCTTGTATCACCAGCGTGTGGCAAGCGCAAATGACAAATATGATAAATGTAAACAGGAAAGGAAGCGGCAGGAATAAACAAAAGACTGTTGATAGAAACAAACTCGTCAATGATGAGATGGCGAGTTCGCCTTCGGCAGCAGTTCACATGCTTCGTGCGACCCTCCACGAGACTGAGATCGACTTGTCTGTGACATTCATGGATGAGACAGCGGCTTGGTCCCCAAATTGCTGATGTGGCGGGACTGCTGGCCAGGTGAACTGTGGCTGGTATGGTAGTTTTTGGAGACTCGCACGTTGAAATGATCAACGGCCGTGCTCCCAGCAGGTCGCCACCCTTGGGCTGGCACTCTACCACTAGCGCTGCGCGGCAGGGTTATGGCGTTGCCGTCTCCCCTCCCCTCCCCCTTGGTTGCCCCGACCCGGCTCAGCGAGGGAGTAGGGTGTGCTGGCTGGCTGGCTGGCTGGCTGGCTGGGCGTCGGGCTGTACGTGCACGCCCCCTCCCTTCCCTCCCTACTCCAAACAGCGGTACCTCGCAGTACTCGGAGACCCCTGAGGGACTTTCCCCCCGCCCTCGGCTCCAACCCAGAAAGGCCCAGCATGCGCTGACGAGACGATGCATGCACGCGTGTGTGGGTGGGCGCGACCAACTTTCTGTGCCCACGGGTTTGAGGGGGCGGGCCTCAAGCGAAAGGCCCGACAAAGCCCACCAGCTCTTGCCGACCCAACGCACTGAGCCGGGTTGTTTGCCGAGTTTTCTCTCTGGAGTGATGTTTTCTCTTCTTTTTTCTGACTGGATAGGTTCGGCAAACACACGACATTCTCATTTCGCTCCCTCTCCTTCTCAGCCGTCACCCTGACAGTGAAGCACAGTGTGATCGATCGAGTCGCCGGTCGGTCCCCTGTCCCCCCTCCCATCCCCTCAGGAAGCCCACACATTAGGCGTCTAGTCCGGTACGTGGCACCTGGCCGACCTGATTGCCGTCGCCCGCGGGCAGCAAAATTGGGATGAAACGGGAACGGTAGGCGCCAGCGCTTTGGAACGTGTGTGTCCTGCGGGGATCCGCCCTGGCGACGAGAAACAAACTGATCAAATGCAGCCCGACCTGAGGTGAGATGACACGGACGTGCTAGGTTGCGGTGCCACACACGCTCGCCAACAGGCGACGGGCCTGGTGAGGGGAAGGGGGAAGGAGGCTTCCCATGAGGTATTCGGGAGTCAACCCAGGCCCCCACGCGACACCACGTGCACGTCCCCTTCTGCAAAAAGAGCGCTGGGGAGTGCATCGGCAAAATTTAGCCACATGTCGGATACTTCAAAAGCATATGAAGGGTTGATCGCATTGTGGTTTTTTCCTTTTCTTTCAATTCGTATACTTATTTATTTGTGTTATTTGTGGTTGCTTTTGCTTCTTTTACATATAGTCCTCATCAAGTTCCTCTCGATTTCAATCATATACGCTGCTGCGTGCTTTCGCGTTCATGCTATCTCTGCCCCCGGTGGTATACTAAACCACATCGAGACCATCAACGGAGCCTCAGCCCTGGTTTACGCTATCCTGTCATCGGTCCAGGCTGACCACATGTCGACTTTCAGACGTCGCGAAGGCAGTGCCTGGCCACTGGACGACCGGCTGAGCTAGGCAGATTCAACCCTCAAACGTAGATCGAGAATAGTGACTATTCTAGCTGCAACCTTGCACGGAACGGGAATGAAGTCATAGTTAGCCGGTTGCCCTACAACGGATGAAAAGTATGGGTCATGATGATGTGCTTTCGCTTCTCGCCTTTGCAAAACCACATGGTGTTGCCTTTTTGTCGGGGCAATCCATCTCTCCTTCAACGAAACGCCGGCCAAGGAAGACAGCCACACAGTTAGCCAGGCCAGGCACCTGTCTTTGTCATAAGCTTTATCTTTAAACGTGACTTGCAGTGGCAGCATCCGAACAGACCCGCCAACGAAGCACATTACCTAATTCGCTAGATCGTCCCGTGTCCGTTCCTCGGAAGTTCCACCGCATATCCTTTAAAAGTGGGACAGACAGGGGCCCATGCTGGGAGGGTGGACGGACCACCCCGAGGCGTGGCTGTTATGTCGGCTGCTCTTCAGACTAAAATGGGAAGGAATGTCGGTCGCGCCTGCTGGGTAAGGGGACTTTCCTTTTTGAGGGGCGGCCTTTTTTGAGCGGCTGCCAGTTTTCCCCGTCGTCGTTTCTCTCTCCATGGCGCTTTCCTCCTCCTCCATCCTGCCTCTCCTTTTTTTTTTCCTCTATGCCATTGTCCCCTGCGCGACTGTCTCCTCACAGCGCGCCTGCATTCCTCCCACCCAAGCAAAGCAAGTCGTCGGTTTGCATTCACATCGCATCACCGACCACCACAAAGGCGGCTTTTTTTACTTTCTTTTTGGATTGCCTTTTTTCCCCCAGTCAACGGCGTCTCCTCCCGCCCTTGTGTCCCTTGTTTGCCGCGCTCGTGGCTTGCAGCGCCCACACGAGTCCGCGCTTCTGCCTCAAGCTGCCCAGCATCGTCAATCAGCCACGACGTATTATCTTTCCTGTTCTTTCTAATTCTATCAACGTGAAGTGGCTGAACGTTGACTGAACGTTACCTCCGATACCGAAATAATTCCTGCCGACAATTATCCCGGCGGGCTTTACCGGCTTGCGCACCGGCTTGATCGCATACTTGTCGGTCTTTGAAAACGCGATAGGGCAGATAGTCAGCCAGACCCAACCTCAGGGATCGAAGGCGTTTGGGAGGACCGCCCAGAGTCTCAACCTTGCCCACAACCGCGATGGCGGCACATCGCCCATCTCCCCCGATGTCGGTGCAAATGCATCACGGCCCAGGGGCGCCCATCCCGCCTGGCTCTGTGCCCAACGGCGGCCCGTCCTTCATATCGCCGTCGCGTCGCATGGCCGAGGCGACTGAAGGTGTTTGGATGCAAATAGGTACGGTCCTCTATGTTGCCATAACCCGGCTGGACATGCGCGACTGACACTTGTTTACAGGCAGCTTGTCGGAGCTCCTCGGTAACCTCGAGGAGGCCATGAACGCCTACGAGCGCGCCCTCACGATCAACCCGCAGTCGATTCCGGCCATGAACGCGATGAGTCTCATCTTGAGGACCAAGGAAGAGTTCCAGAAGGCTTGTGAATTCCTGAACGCGATCCTTAAGCTGGATCCGCAGAATGGCGAAGCTTGGGGGAGTCTTGGTATGGTTTCGCTCCGCACCTCGGCGCCCGCCCGGCGCCAGCCCACAATCGTATAACGAGACAGTCGCTAACCTCTTTGTTCTTGCCGCCAGGTCACTGCTATTTGATGATTGATGACCTCCAACAGGCCTATAGCGCCTATCAGAATGCCCTCATGAATCTGCCAAAGCCAAGGGTATGTGCTATCCCGCCCTACAATGACTCCAAAATATTCCATATGTGCAAGGGAATTTAGAAGCGGAGTGCATCAATAACTAACGCGGATTCACTGCTTCACAGGACCCCAAGCTTTGGTATGGCATCGGCATCCTCTATGACCGCTATGGCTCGCTGGATCATGCTGAGGAGGCTTTCTCGTCGGTGATGCAAATGCAGCCTGACTTCGAGAAGGCCAACGAAATCTACTTCCGGCTTGGCATCATCTACAAGCAGCAGTCCAAGTTCAACCAGAGTCTTGAGGTAAGTGCTAGGCAGCGCTGCGCACTGACATACAGGTACTAACAAGTCGAGTCGTAGTGCTTCAAATACATTGTTCACTCACCGCCGCTCCCCCTCACGGAGGAGGATATCTGGTTCCAGATCGGTCATGTCCACGAACAACAGAAGGATGTAAGTCAAATGTTGCTAGCACTATTCCATGCAGGTAGCTTGCTGCAGATGCTGATGCGGCCCAATGACCTGTAGTACGACAACGCAAAGGCCGCGTACCTGCGCGTTCTTGAGCGTGAGCCCAATCACGCCAAAGTCCTGCAGCAGCTCGGCTGGCTTCACCACAACCAAAGCAGTAGCTTCCAGAGCCAGGAGAGAGCAATTGAATATCTCGAGAAATCAGTCGCTGCTGGTAAGAAACTTCTAGCCAACATCGTATGCATTGCATGTCGTGCCGCTTGCTGACCATGATGGATCCAGAGGCCAATGATGCCCAGAGCTGGTACCTACTTGGAAGGTGCTACATGTCGCAGCAAAAGTACCCCAAGGCATACGAAGCGTATCAGCAGGCTGTCTATCGTGACGGTCGCAATCCGACCTTCTGGTGCTCCATTGGTGTGCTCTACTACCAGATCAACCAGTACCGCGACGCTTTGGACGCATACTCGCGTGCCATCCGGCTTAACCCGTACATCTCCGAGGTTTGGTACGATCTCGGCACTTTGGTAAGTGTTCTTCTCCCTGCGGGCCTTCACACTGTTGAACAATTAATCGGCAGTTGTGGCAAACCGGCAGCTAACCATGGTGATACAGTACGAATCGTGCAACAACCAAGTTAGCGATGCCCTCGACGCCTACACGAGGGCGGCTGATCTTGATCCGAGCAACCCGCACATCAAGGCTAGACTGCAGCTCCTGCGGACTGGTCAGAGCAACGGCTCTCAGCCGGTCAGCGCACCGATCCCGACAGATATGCACCCGCAGTCCTACCAGGCCTCCGGGCCCCCTGGTCCGCAATGGGGTGGTGCCTCGGGCCATCCGCCGCCGCAGCAGCAAAACGGGCCTCCTCCGCTGAACGGGCCGGCCAACTGGCCTCGCTTGTCTGATGTCAACCCGCCGCCGCAGCCCCCGAATCCTTACGAGCAACAGCGGGGAGAGCCCTTTCGTGGCCCCCCGCCGCCTCGGCAGCCCAGCCCCCGACAGGAGCAGCCCCCCATGAGACACTACCCCCCTGAGCAGGGTCGCCAGGGTCCCGGTCCTGAACCTCCTCGCGGGCCGTCTCCTCCTCCGAGCCACTACTCGTTGCCTCCGGCGCCGCAACAACAGACGCAGCAGCAGTCTCAGCAACCGCCTCCCCATCAGCCGCCACCGCCGCCTCAGCAGCGCCAGTCACAGCAGCAGCAACAGCAGCAGCAGGTTCTGGGCATGATCAGGAACCCCAACCACCATAGCATGCCCGAGAATGGCATCAACGGAGCCGCGCCTGCCCCTGCGGCCATCATCGGCTTCCACAGGACCAACAGCCCCAGAAACGACCAGCGTCCGGCGCACGACAACCGCATGCCTTCGCCCAAGTCTGCTTATCCCCAGCACCAGCCCCCTTATCCCCCTCATCCGGATTCCGCGGGACCTAGCGGCGTGGACGGCGCGGGAAGACCCCCGCCACCTCCATCAATGGGCCCTGACCCGTCGATGCATCGCGACCACGACCGTCCCCCCTCTGTCGGCCCCAAAAGGATGCGTGAATGGGAAGACGATGCTGCCTCGGCCAAGAAGCCCGCGTCTGAAGAGAACCGGGCCAGGCTCGACGACCTTCGCCACCGTCGACCGTCAACCCCGCCTCGAGAGCGGGACTCGTATCGCCGCAACTCGTCCGAGGCGCGCAGGTTTGAGGACCAACGGCGCATGGAGGATCAACGGCGTGCCGAGGATCAAAGAAGGGCGGACGAGATGCGCCGCGTGGATGAGCAGAGGCATGCTAGCGATACCTACCATCCGTCCGAGGCCGCGCATCACCCCCCTGCGCACGCGATTCCTCCGAATCACTTGCCCCCGATGCAGCAAGGCCCGTCCCAGATGCAAAACATTATGCACGACGGCCCTACAGCCGGCCCGGCGCCCAAGGAGTATGGTCAAGATGAGAGGCAGCATGAGCGACCGCACGCCTCTGTGGCGCACCCTCCTGCCACCAACGAGCCCGAACGTGCAGCTAGGAAGATGGACGTAGACGAGGACTATGATGACAGCGGCGAGGATGAGAAGAAGAATGGGATCATCCCAGGGACAGCGTCAGGCCCTAGCTCGGCATCGGGCGAGATGAAGTCGTCCACCGCTACTGCTGGGCTGAACGGCATCATGGGCCCCAAGGTTGAGAGCACCTAGAATGAGATTGTATCCCGTTGTCTCCTTTGCGGACCTCGATATTTCTGGTTGATTTTTCTTGCTGCGCTTTCTACTTCCCCTTCTTGAATTTCTCACGGTCTCATTCGTGGTCTATTACCCATTTCCCTAAATCCCCTTTGACAAGGAGGCTGCCTGTACTTCAGCCTCATTTCGTATCCACCCGGAATGGGCTCTATCTGCTTGTGTACAATCAAAAAGTTATGGCTCTCGTGGCCTCTATTCCCATATACTCTGCCTTAAATCCCAAGATTCAAAACCTATGATTGCTTTTCGCGGATGTTTTTGGACAATTTTATAGGACTTGGTTCGCTCGATGAGAGCCTTGTGATGATGGTTGGTTATGGGGGTTATTGAAGGCGTGCGGGTCGGTCAAGGGTCCGGATTTGTCTTGCCATAGGAATTAGCACTTTGACTGATTGACTATATCGATGCCGTGTTCCAGGTCGTCTCTGTGAGGTCCTCTGTTGCTACGCAGCTACGTGGGGATAAGGGCGGATTGCCTGGTACTTGTAGCTTCGTGGGAGTTGGACAGATACACGGGTAACCGTAAGTCTGTGCCTGGTCCACTAGGTCACCGCACTGGTGGGCACACGCAACAAAACCCCGCCGGGCCACAAGTCAGCGTCACGTGCCTTTTTAGGGCCTCAGCTCCACCTTCCTTGTGAGTGCACATCGCTGCAATAATTCGCTTTGGTGGGTTGCTTCTACTCGAACTTTTTTTCCTACGTTTTGACATTCAGACTTCTTTCTCCCCGTCCTTCTTTTTTTTTTCGTCAACCACCCCGAATCCTCTCATACTCGACGACCAAAATGTCGCACCGTAAGTATGAGGCGCCGCGTCACGGCTCGCTCGCCTTCCTGCCCAGGAAGCGGGCCGCCCGCCACAGAGGAAAGGTCAAGTCGTAAGTACAAATTCAGCAGGGACGGCGATGTTGGGCTCTTTAGCCTCACACGCTCGCACTGCTACCCTACCTTCTTGGACACCATTCACGACACTGCTCCGGCATAGGCTGAGCGAGAAGCTCAATGGCGCCAATGCTAACCAGCATGTGCAACAACACGCCAGGTTCCCCAAGGACGACCCCAAGAAGCCCGTCCACCTGACGGCCGCCATGGGCTACAAGGCCGGCATGACGACCATCGTCCGCGACCTCGACCGCCCCGGCGCCAAGTCCCACAAGAAGGAGGTGGTCGAGGCCGTTTCCATTATTGACACCCCACCTGTACGAACAACGCAGCCCGCTTGGCTCTTGTGCCTATGGCTAACATCTTCTACAGATGATCGTTGTTGGTCTGGTTGGCTACATCGAGACCCCCCGCGGTCTCCGTTCGCTTACTACCGTGTGGGCTGAGCACCTGAGCGACGAGCTCAAGCGCCGGTTCTACAAGAACTGGTACAAGAGCAAGAAGAAGGCCTTCACCAAGTACGCCAAGAAGCACTCGGAGAGCAAGGGCGCATCCATCACCCGCGAGATTGAGCGCATCAAGAAGTACTGCACCGTCGTCCGCGTGCTGGCACATACCCAGATCCGCAAGACGCCACTGAAGCAGAAGAAGGCGCACCTGATGGAGATCCAGATCAACGGCGGTTCGGTTGCCGACAAGGTTGAGTTCGGCCACGGCCTGTTCGAGAAGCCCGTCTCGATCGACACCATCTTTGAGCAGAACGAGGTGATCGACGTCATCGCCGTCACCAAGGGCCACGGCTTCAACGGCGTCACTTCGCGTTGGGGTACCAAGAAGCTGCCGCGCAAGACTCACAAGGGTCTGCGTAAGGTCGCCTGTATCGGTGCTTGGCATCCGTCCCACGTCCAGTGGACCGTCGCCCGTGCCGGTCAGATGGGTTACCACCACCGTACCTCGGTCAACCACAAGGTTTACCGTATCGGCAAGGCCGACGCCGAGGACAGCGCGGCGACCGAGCTCGATGTTACCAAGAAGAAGATCACCCCGTAAGTTTTGAGCCCCATCTGTCGCAGCGGCTTGGCCGCTTCCCAACTATCTCGGCTGGCCCGTTTGCTAACATACATATGCAGAATGGGTGGCTTCGTCCGCTACGGCGAGGTCAACAACGACTTCGTCATGGTCAAGGGCTCGATTCCCGGCACCAAGAAGCGTGTTATGACTCTGCGCAAGTCCATGTTCATCCACACTTCGCGGAAGGCTCTGGAGAAGGTCGAGCTCAAATGGATCGACACTTCGTCCGAGTTCGGACACGGTGCGTTCCAGACGCCGGCCGAGAAGAAGCAGTACCAGGGCACGCTCAAGAAGGACCTTGTTGCCAGCTCGTAAGGTTTGGCTGGTTGGTTTTTGTACAGTCCTTCTTCCTGGGTTTTGTTTCTGGCATTTGGCGTCGACGGTTTGATCTGGTTTGCTATTGGGATGGGCCAGGTTTGGTCTCATGAAGGGAATCCCGTCCGGAATCCTCGGGCTTAGCAAAAGCAATTCATTTGATGGGAATCAAGACCATTTTCCACCGTCGAAGAGGCTGCTCGTGCATTGATGTCACAGGTTCTGGACTAGTGAGGTCGCGCCTCTGCGCCTCCGATGTTCCTACTCCTGCCTAGTGTGTTTGGGTGACGAGTTGATCCGAATGATATTCGTGATGGCGTAGTGAACTGTGACGCTGCTATCCTTTATCCTCACTTTCTGGCGATGTCTTGTCGAGGCCTTTGGATGTAAGCCAAGCCAGTGTTGGGTCCGTGCGCAACAGAGCCCTTTGTCCAATGGCGCACTGATCTGTGCAGCACTGATGTCTGGGGCAGACCCCATTGCGTCATTGTTTGCTCCCTGGCTGCTTCCCCTCATATCTACCAGGCACCGCGAACTTGCCTACGCGTGCGTGGTACCTGCCAAGCTGTAGAACGACATGGTAGCATCTCCAGCGCGACGCCTCGCTACTACCTCTGTACGGAAATTTTTATCAAACGCACCAAAGGCCATCTCGACCCGCTACAGCTCCCGACCTGCTGGCTGGATTCTCCAGTGGCCTGGCTCCCCAGTGCGCGCCAGCTCGACTCTCATGAGGGACGCCCACGGCTCGCTCAACCGGGGAGCAAGCACATACAAATACAACAAAGGCCTAGAGTTTGCGACAGACGGCAAAAGAAGGATGGCGACCTCGGACGACGCGTACATGGACTTTCTGAACAAGTCCAACCGGGACCCCTCAGACGGCCAGTCGAAAAAGGCGGCGGCGCCGGACGGGGAACTAAAGACGACCGAGGCCGGGGTCGAGACGCCGGCAGCGATCGCCCGGGCGACGAAAGAGGCCTTTTATACCAGCGAGGCCGACGAGCCCTTTGTGTCCGTCGCGCTGGCCTGGGAGAAGGGATTGCCGAACGAGGGTATGTGCCTACCTAGTCCGGCCGGGTCGCTCTATCTAGGTCTTTTTTTAAAGTAGACATCCACTGTACTTTTGGGGTTCTTTGCCAGCTGACACGCGCCTCACCCACCCATCCATCCCGCAGAGGAGTTCGCGACGCTCATCGGGCACTGGGACCCGGCCGAGGCGGGGATCGACATCCTGGACCCCGTCGACTGGGACAGCCAGGGCCAGTACGGTGACGTCGTCGAGGCGGTCCGGGAGGCGAGCAAGGGCAACGACGTCCGCGTCTACCGCGTGCCGGGCAGGAGGCCGTCGCGGGTCGAGTACTGGGTCGTGACGGCGACGGGCGGCAAGGGCGGGAGGCTGGTGGGGGCCAAGGCGCTTGCCATCGAGAGCTGAGGGCGCACCCGGGCTGAGGCCGCGATGGTGTTTGGCACCCGAGGAGTGTGTGCCTTGGGTAGCTTGGGCGGGGCGTTGAACGAGGAGGAGTGGATAGGCTTCTGGGTTTGTTCTGGACAGGGCACCATGCAGCCTTGGCAGGGCCTTGAACTTTAACGATGGAGAGTTTTGCTTTCTCAATGTGCTGGTATGGGCGTTCAGCGAGTGGACCTCGCCCAGTTCTTTGACTGAACTAGTTAAAGGATCAACATGGGAAAATTCAGAAAGGCTCGTAAGAGACGCAAGAACCATGATTATCAACGAAGCATTTCCCCTGGAAAAGGCAGGCAAAGGGCTTAAGTGTGAACGAAGCAAACACCCGCGCCGATGCTACAGCCGTCGAATATCCGCTCCCAAGCAGTTTCCTGTGCCGCTGGATATGGCCACACAGGGGATCCATAACAGCATACCCACAGGGCTGCTCCAGAGCTCTCAAAGTACACGCATATTCTCCGTGGCACGGAGGAGCAATCCGGGTGCTCGCTCTTGACGCTTGGACAAGACAAAGACAGGTCGCCCTAGAGACTTTCCTTGAGAAACGACTTCCGGTTCACTCTTATGCTGGCAATTTACGCTAGGTTTCACCCCAGCAGAATCTGAGATCAAACCTATCTCGACCTCCTTCCCATATGGCCAACAAGGGCCATGCTCATAGCAATGCCCCCTTACATCTCGATGGCAGGTTATGCTTACAAGGAGATAACAGCATCAAGCCATCTTACTCCATTCCAGTCCCCGGGGCAAACGCGGAGGTACGCATCTGCACACTGCACATATATCTACTGGCAAGACATGTTCCACCTCACACCTGCCGACTCACTGGCCGAGGACGGCGGGCCGGTGCTTGTTAACCTCAACGTCAACTTCCATCTCCCTTGCGTGTGGCCCCGAGACACGTCACAGACCACCGCCCCCTCGGGGGTGCTCCACATCAATCCGGAATACGACTTCCTTCAGATAGTTCTCGGGCGGGAGGTATGCTCCGAACAAAGTCATGTTATTGTCGATTTTATCCGGCGCTTCAAGACTGTCCACGATCCGCGCGGCGTGGGCTTCCGCAACCTGGTTGCTGACGAGTGGTTTTTGACCAAATTCCGCCCCGCCAGATGGTCCATCGGGGAGTCGGATGAGGCGCAGGAACCGGATAGGGGTCAGCCACCCGACGCCGTGGCCACCCGCGCTTTCAGAGATACCATGGCGCAGCTCCACGAGGCCTTTTTCTTGCATGTATTCCATGAAGGCCGGACGTTCTGCTCACCCTACGCCCGCGAAGGGGACCCCTTCGTCAACCAATCCTATCCCATTATGACCTTGGCAACACACTTTTCGCGTGTAGCACGGGACCCTCGCCCAATCGGCCGCGACCTGCTGAGGATACCCATGGTGACTTTGGTTCACCCGGACGAGCTGTTTAAAAACTGGCAGATTCTCATGGCCTCGGTCGGCTTGGTAGAGCCAACTGCCGTTGGCGCCCACGACGAGGCCGGTTTCCGCACGGAATTTCACTTCCTTATCGCAGCCAGCCCTGACAGGGAGGGGCCCCCCATCTGGCCGTACGATCGCCAGGGTGGGCTGATCTGTTTGCAAAAGGAGATGGATGCGTTCCCCTCCAAGTGCGAATCGCGATCGAGCAACGGCAATATGCCTGAAGGGTTCGCCGAACGGCCGCAGGCATCCCGGGTGGCAGAGCAGCAGCAACCCACTGCCATACCGGTTCTGGGATTCTGGCTTTTTCCCTTGGGCACCATACTCCCAGCCACCGAAAACCGGCTGGACTGGCCTCTCGAGGAGGCCGTGGACTTGAGTGGGCATTGGCCTACCCTTGGAGTGTTCGATTTCTCTTCGTGGGGCAGAGAGAGGAGGGAATAGCGGGGAATAATGTATGGCATGTGTATTACACCTTTTTAGCACCGAGAAGATTGTTCTGTATTATTTTTCCTGTTCTCACTAGGAATTCTGTCCCTTAGGTTGTCCTTATATCGTTCAATCCAACAGCCCGGATAACATTTCCACAGTTGTTGGTCTTGGCGCTAAATCCTTGAATTCTTACGCTGAATCCTAACACGCAGAGTTTTAGAGATTTCAGCGGGTGTTCCCGTTACCCTTCAATCTGTGCTGCCTCAAAGAGGGAAAGGGAGAGAGAGGCAGCTGCCAGTTCCCTGCACCAGCCGGCTGGAGGCATCGCGAGCCATGGACGGAAAAAGCGCAAGGGCCCACGCCCAGACACTCGCCAACACGATTACCTTGAATCAATTGACTGCAAAGGTGAAGACTGATCCGGCCGTCGATCTCACCGAATCCTTAGCGCAAAAGTTGGAGTCATATCCCAAGCTTGTGCAAGGTCTCGTGGCGGCCGCGCCCCAACCTCCTTCTGGCCAGGACACCAACAGCCCACCGTCACCATTCTCACCAACTCTCGAGGAGAAGCCTTACCTCCTCAAGGACGAATCAGCCGATATCACTCATACTCTAAGTGATGTCATAGTGGCCTTGCTGGTGGGTGATGGAAGAAGCGCAGTCGATCAGAGTGCATCGCCGAGCCAGTCCTCGCCTGCTCTCGCGGCGGGTGATGGAAGCGCAGTCGATCAGAGCGCAACATCAAGCCAGCTCCCGCCTGCTCTCGTGGCCTCCCTTAACAGACTTCTTCGGGAGGGAGAAGTGCTCCACGGACTCCATCAGCATTGGGTGGTCGACATCGGATCGGGCAACGTGGCCAAGATTGGCTTGGGCATTGATCCCGACCATATCAGTAACCTGCAGCACATCAACGAGCACATGCCAGAAATCCCAACCCCTCGATTCCTTGGTGCTCTGTCCGGTGGCCGGTTAACCTACATCTTCATGTCTCGGTCCCAGGGCGTCACACTGGAAAGTATCTGGCCCGATCTCACAGTGGGACAGAAGCTGTCAGTCAAGCAGCAGCTGGCTGAGCATCTCAAGCGCCTTCGCCAAAAGTCCCCTCTTGCTGGGCAGACCCGACTTGGCAGCTTCGAGTCGGGGATCTGTAAAGATCTGAGGAGGTCATTGCGCGTGTCGTCCGCGCCTTTGCACAGCGAAACAGAATGGAACGACTTTCTCTGCAAGGAGCCGGGCAGAACCGCGATAGCATTCATTAGGATGATACGGTCCTTTATGACAGAAGATCACCGTATCGTCATGACGCATGGCGACCTCCACCCACGCAACATTATGGTTGTGACGGGAGCGAGCGACGGCGGAGAAGCTGACATTCGTGTCACCTCAATACTGGATTGGGAGCTTGCCGGATGGTACCCCGAGCATTGGGAATTCGTCCGAGCTCTCAACACCATTGGATCTCGGGGACGCTGGAACGATTGGGTCGAGTATCTGCCAGCCGACGCCATCGGACAGTATCCTGTTGAGTACTCGCTGGACTGTCTCATTGATCGCTGGCTGGGTTGATGGAGATGCAGGTTTCCGCTTTGTTAAAGAACTCCTAAACTCGTCTATGTGAAATACGATGCCTTGATGTCGAACTACCTAGGCAGAGGTGACCCTGACGAGAAAAGAAAAGATATCATCAACCTCATCTGGCACCTTGAACCAATGGCCCTCCTCCTCAGCCCCCGAGTACTCTTTCCACTCGACAGCCCACCCGCCTTGAGCCAGGACATCAGCTGCCTGACGGCCGAGCTCCACATCTACGTAGGCGTCGTCGACCCCGTGACCAAGGAAGACTGGGGGCTGCTCCCGCGTTGTGGAGGGGGCAGGCTTGTCAACGGGTGGTATCATAGCGAGCACCGCGTCCCTGGGCTCTAAGCTTCCAGGCGCCGGTGCCACCTCGTTACGCACAAACAGATCCTTGACATCGGCCGCAAACGGCAGCCAAGTGCTGGCTGCAAAAAAGCCACCCAGGCTCCTGTTTTCCAAGCCCCGTCCGGAGAGCAGCGTCCACATCCCTACCGCAGCCCCCTGGCTGATGCCCCCGAGTACTAGCTTCCGAGAATCTCCGCCGAGCCTCTCGGTCTCCTTTTTAATCGTATAGGAAATGTGGTCGACGGATTCCAAGAGCCCCTTAACCTGAAGGTTTTGCCGCGCGGTAGGGTCCGTTAAAGAATGCGCCTCAAACCAGGCCGGCATATATTCTTGGAAAGCAGTGCTCCACCGTTTTTTCGAAGAGGGGAATACCCAGCGCCAGCCGGGTAGCTTGTCGCATAGTTTAGCGCCGTCGGACAGGTTGGGCTCGAAAAAGTCGTCGGCGAACTCCTCGGCGTCGCTGCCACGGCCGTGGAGCACGATGGCAGTATGGGTGTGCTTCGATTGGGGTTGGACGATGTGGGGTTGCCCGAACTTGGATCCGGCCTCTTCTGCACCCGCCGCGCGAAGGCGCGTCTTCGCCGCGAGGTTCATCCATGATGGTATTGAGTGTCTAGGTAGGAGGTAGGTACCTAGCAAGGTTCTGTCAATCGTCTGGGGTGTCGTACCCGGATACGTAAGGGTTTCTCACTACGTAAACACGGATAAGGGCTCTCATGTAGTTTGTTGCAAGACGAAGCAGCTGGGAAGGAGCTTAATTGGAGTCGCGTTGAGTTTAATCTCTGTTTTATAAAGAAGAAGAAGAAGGCTACTTTGCTGATCCTTTCGTATAGATATTCATCACTATCTCAATCCCATACGGGAGTCTTCAATGGGAGGAGGTTTGACACCAGGAGATGTGAGCCTGGGCCAGTCCTCAGGGCTTGCCGCCCGCTGATTCACCAAAAAGGTGGGGTTGCAGAGAGGGTGGGGTCCCAGAAATCCGCCCTGGCCTGCAGGTACCTGAGCCCTAAATCAGGGCAGCTGGACATGTTCGGCTCGATCCGGCGACCCTCACTGTGCTCTGCGTTCAAACGCCATTGCACTGTTCACGATTTACCTGGCAATACCTCCCTCTCAATAACTAGGTAGGTACACTTCCACCGACAAAAATACATTTATTAACGACAGCAAATACAAACGTCGACGTCTTTTCAGCATGTGCAAAGCGCCGAAAAGCCTGACTGGCAGCAGCAGCACCGTTTGCAGCCGTCTACCTAGTCAAACCACCTTTTTGACGGGTCACGCATGCAAAGAAGAGGCAAGCAAGACGATGTTAGTAATAGCTTCCCAAAAGAGGGAAATTATATCAAAGGGCTTTTGGGTTTTTTTTTTTTTTTTTTTTTTGGAAAAGTCGGTGTCCTTGTCAGCCCAAGGTCGCAGTCTTCCCCTCGAAAGACGGGGGCAGGTGACGATCGTGGGACTTTTCAGGGGGCTTGCTGACGCCGATGCAGAACACGAACTCGGACGAACCCTTGGCGCGATCGCGTACTGGCGGAGATGTCAAACACCGGGAGGGAACCTTGGTCTGGCACTCAATAATTTCATGCTCTCAGCATGTAAATATGCATTGGACCTGCGCTGTGCCGTTCCTGTGCTGTGGGGGCACGGCAGACGAGGCGGAATCTGGCGGACAGCAGATGAGGCAGATCCTGGTCACCACCCCAGGATCGCGGGATCCTGGCCTTAAGGTCTAGGACAAGCGCTCGAGGGGCAGCCCGGGGTGACCAGACTGCCTATAAAGAGGCCTCGTCTTCCTCCTGTGGCTCGTCAGTCATTGAGAGGGACCTCCAGCGGCAGGATTCGCAAAGCAACTTCCAGCAAACCAAAGCCCAGTCTTCCTCGCTCCATTCTCTCTCATCGCCGGTCAAACCATCAAAACCGCCAACATCCTCCTCGTCAAAACAGCAAAAATGCGCTTTTACACCATCCTCGCCGCCGTCCTCGCCTCGGCCGCCCCGGCCGTCTTCGCCACGCCAGTCGCCCAGGGGGAGCAGCCGCCCACGCCCGTGAAGCAGCTCCAGGCCAGGCAGAGCGGCGGGCCCTGCAGCAGCCCGGGCACCTTTACGTGCCAAGGCCGCGCGGTCATGGTCTGCAATTCAAGCCGGACGTGGCAGCTGAGCGCCCTCTGCGGCGGCAACGGGTGCTGCCGCGTGTCGGGCGCTTCGGCTTTTTGCAATTGCTAGAAGAAGGCAGGGGGATGTCCACCACTCGAGGAACCAGCCACAGCACACTCGACAAGCACACTCTGGCACAAAAGAAGGGGTCAAGTCCCGAGGAGATCGGTGCTTGGCAACGGGGAGGGCAGCAGCCAACGGGTGCGCCGTACATTACCGAGCACCTGCCTTCGGGCCTGTAAGCTCCGTAGGGGATACCGAGGCTACATGACAGGGGCCCAGACCTTGAACTAAAAGGCAGGGAGCCGGAGGCTCCCTGCATCTATAGATACTCCTCAGGGTTAGATTTCCTACCAAATAGCACCTGCTCGCTATCACCGATCCCTTTAACTCTTTGCAACACACTTGACAAGCACAATCGACAAGCACCCTTGATCCATTCGTCATACCGGTTCGTAGTAAAGGGAAGAGGATACTGCCAAGCTCTCGGTCAAATGATGGTGGCTCTGCAGATATTTGGCTACGACGACATCCCCTTTGTACGTGCGCATGCCGGAGAGCGTTACTGTTAGCAGCAGCCCCGTTTGCAGCGAGCTGGCTCAGTACAACCAGCTTCCAAACGGTTTACGCATGGCAAGAAGAAAGAAGCAAGGGGCTTGATGATTGTTATCTAAAAGGGGTTAACTATTTTGAAAGGGGAAATGGCTTTTTGAAATGGCCGGTCTCCTCATCATTGCCGTCAGCACAAAGTTGCGCTCCCCTCTTAAAAAATGGGGCAAAAGCCATCGTGGCACGTTTTCAGGGGGGTTTGCTGACAACGAGCAGAAGCCTGGGCGCAATCGCATACTGGCGGAGATATTGAGAGCCGTAAAAGACCCCCGGTTTGAACCCAATAAGTGATCTCAGCATCGCGCCGCGCCGTTCTTGCACCGAGACGAGGCGGAATCTAGCGGGCGGCTGGCGAGGACAAACTGGTCACTGAGCATCGCGGGAGCCGGATCCTAAGCTCCAAGCGCCAATCCATACACAAAAAGGACTCATCTTACTCTCATAGCTCATCAATGATCGAGACCTCCAGCGGCAAGATTTCCAAGGCACCTACCCCTCGGCAAGGTAAATCCCAATCTTCTTCGCTTGACACTCTTTTCCCGCGAGCCAAAGCCATCAATACCTCATTTTAATACCGCCAACGCTTCTCATCACAGTAGCAGCGATGCGCTTCACCACCTCGCCGCCGCCCTCGCCCTGGCCCCAGCCGTCTTCGCGACGTCCGTCCAGCAGGAGGCGCCCGTGGAGCTCGCGGCTAGGTAGAAGGGGGACGACAAGGGGGACAAGCCGCCCCCGAACCAGTCCTGCAGCCCGGGCAGGTACAGGTGCTCCGGCAGCAGCATCCAGGTCTGCAACGCGAGCAAGAAGTGGCAGCTCAGCGCCAACTGCAAGTCAAAGTGCTGCAAGCAGTCGGGCTCGACGGCCCACTGCGTGTGCTAGACGACGAGGGCGTCCGACACTCGTGGAACTAATGGTAACACAGTCGGCAAGCATCCTAGATACGGTCATTATTACCGTTTGGGCTGGAGGGAGGAGGAAAAGGTTGTCTCAGTTAGGGTGATGACTCCGCGGATATGTGGCCTGGGCCCGAGGGTGTAATGTGGATGGGGGAGGCGACGAGCAAGGCGGAATCACGCGAGGCTTCTTGACTCGCCTCCCCACTGCAGATGGATATAGCAGTTTTCCTAGCTTCAACGCTTAATATGAGCTTCCGCAACGTAAAAAAAAAAACTATTTAGCTCCCCGTTTTTGTGAACTTATGAGCCGTGCGATATGCAAGCTTCTACTCCATGTGCCATGCCATTATGAGGGCCGCAGCCTGGCTCCAAGAAAAACGCGAGTGCTTGCTACAAAACCGAAAACAGGAGCTTTTTCGAGGGACCAAAGACATCCAGGTCTATCAAGCTAAAGACAACGGGCTCCGGCTCGGCGGTACGTTGACGGCCAACCTCCCCTCCCCAACTGGCTCAACCCGAGCCTACAACTTTCCCACGCCCATTCAGTCACTACTAAAATCTCCATCAAGTGTCAGTCGATGGCTTACGCAGTTAGCATCAGAAAGACCGTGGACATCCCGTCTAGTCGCGGCGTTAGCCTTGGGGTTCTTACCGATGACTTCTTCCCACGGCCGCCCCCTTTGACGGCCATCGTGCTCCAGCAGTCACCATCCCGCGCGGGGGCTGTCACCGGAGCCGTGAAGCTCTGGTTGCCCTGGTCCGTGGTATTCCTGACCGCCTGAGCTGACCAGGGGTCGTTCTTGGCTGGCTGGGCAAGCCACTGAGCGAGAGGCGAGTATAGTGTCTCGTTTTTGCCCTGGGAAGAGCCAGCGGCACTGGATACGGCCGAGGTGTTGGCGTTGCTGTTGTAGTTGCTAGACATAGCTTGATCTTGTGATCGAACTTCTCTGCTCTCGAATGAGAAGGTTTGCGTCTCTGTTGCGGAGATTAATCTGTAATTATGCTGGGTTGGTTGCCCTTGGCCTCGCAGCACCTCCCAAATACCAGCCAGTGTGCCCGCCCTCCTTTTAACACTTAACTCCCATGAGGCTCGCTTGATGCCATGGTCGCTAGAAAAGTGCCCCCGAAATCCCGGAGTTGTGACATGATGGCGTTAGCTGCCAACTGGCTACAGCCTTTCGAAATTGCCCCCATGTTTCCCGGATGTTGTGACGTTGCAAAGCCTGCTGGGAGTTTTGGGAAAAGCATGTCCAGAAATGGCCCCAAATATCTGCTCTGGGCAAATTGGCTCAGCCGCGCTGCCCGCCTAGACATGAAGAAATTTGATGGGCGCCAGGCAGTGGGTGATTTATCTAGCCCCAGTTTCTCAGTACTGCTCCTAATCGTCGTAGCCAGGCGGGGCTGGAATGCAGGTACGGGATCGAGGGCTGAGCGAGGAGAAAAATGGCCCCAGTTCGCCAAACCTGGTTCTCCACCTGGTGTTGCTGGCAGTTGCCCTTGAGTGGGCAGGAAAAACGGCCCCAAAGATGTACCTACTTACTACATACTTATTGAGGGAAATACTTAGGTACATTCGTGTATTTGATACTATCCCCAGACAATCGCCGTATGTTTTTTGGGGCCATTTTCTTGCGCCAATCATTTCCAGCCCGAAAAACGCGCACCACTGGCGAACCATGGTAAGCGCCATGGCGAACCAGTCGTGGTCTGCCTGTTCCGTCTTGCATCGTTAATGTAGCTAGCACACCGTTTTCCTTATTGTACAAAAGGAGACCTTTTCCCTCTTCAGCTTCTCATGCTGCACCTGGCCTTCAATGTGACACCTACAGAACGCAACCGGATTTCCAAACAACAAACGCGCAACACCCATTCGTGCTCCGGCTTGTTTTCGTCGACATTTTAATCTTCCTTTTTTCTTCTTTTTGGAACCCTTTGGAGGTCAACTTGCGCATGTCCATCCCGCACAGCCAATCTCTGGGGAGACCATGAATGGCTTTCCGCCTACACATCATCCGACCCGAAAGACCCCATCTACGACGATGTGTTCGGTCTCCTCCCCTCCTCGGCCGATAATGGATGGGTGCCTCCCAGCATTTTAGGGTCGAGTTCGTCTCTCACAACCCAAAACAAGATACATCAAGAATCGGACGAGTGTGGTGGGCATATTGGTCCATTAGCACCCTTTCAGACATATTATTCACCGCCCCTTTCCCCCTCAGCGGATTCCCTTATACCTGAGCCCCTTCTTTGCGTCGTTTCCGGTTCAGCGCTTTCGGCAACGATTACCACGGACACAAGTGGCGCCAAGGACACAGATCTAGTGGAGATATCATCCGATCACGTTCCGGATGCCGCCCGCCACGACAGTCTGCAACTTGACGCCGCCAAGCCAGCCAACTGCGGGACGTGTGGCATATCCTTCAGTGGTATCACCGCGCTTCGCCGTCATGAGAAGAAGCATACGCAATTCACGTGCGGCCGTGATGGGTGCTGCCGGAGCTTCTCCAGCCTTAGGTCCCTCGAGCGGCACCAGCAGAAGGCTGGTGCTCACCTGACCGTTGACTCACCAATGTTCCGGTGCGCTTGCGGCCGCCCAACCACCCGCAAGGACCACCACCAGCGCCACCTCCACGCCAAGCGGGGATGTGAGCCCAGCAGTCCGACGGCGCAGTATTTCTGCTCTTGCGGACACTCTACGAGGCACAGGGTCAAACACGAGGAGCATCTAAAATGTTGCGATGTGCGTCCTCGAGGTCGCCCGCCGAAGAAAACAGTATGAGTGTCAAGTGAGACTGGAATGGATACCGAGGACATGACCGCGCAACATTATTCTCGATACAGATATGGCAGTTATTCGCTCAGGGACGAGATTAGTATTGAATATCAAGTGCCATCCCGAGTGTATATACTAAAAACAACCTCTACGCTCAGGTATTCTGTCGAGGCTACCCTTTTTATCCATTATAATAAAGTACAGATTCATCAACTAAGGGCTCCATCAAGGGCGCCTGATTAAGCCAATAGAATTTTCAATGCTTTTGTTTCGCTTCGCTTCCCTCATGCATCCTTTACTTCTTGTTCGTCAAAACATTAAACAGAAAGACAGGGGTATATAAACCAAGAAGGGGTCGAGAGGGCAGTGTTTGAAACGAAAAAAAAGAAGGGAGTGCAAGACCAAAGGCTCGCTCATACGGCCTCCTCGGCCTTGTCGAGCTGCCTGCGCACGGGGGTGGCTCCGTTGGAGGACGTGTTCATGCCCGTGGACTGGGCCGGCGACGTGTCCTTCTCGGATTCCGGGTTCTGGATGGAGGGGGTGCTCCTCGAGCCTGCGCGGTCCTGCTGCTGCTGCTGCTGGGGAGGCGGCGTGGGCGCGAAGGCGCTGCGGGCCCTGATCTTGTGGCCATAGAGCCAGAAGATGACGGGAATGGGGATCATGGCGACGGCCACGCAGCCGAGCAGAAGACTGGCCCACTGGACACCCATGCCGTTGAACATGGCGCCGGCGAACAGGGGGAAGCCGGCGCCACACAGGCTGCGGAGGAAGGTGTTCCCAGCGATGGCAGAGGCGGCGAACATCAGGTAGGCATCAACCAGGTAGTTGAGGGCTTGCAGGAAGATGGACATGAGCCCGAAGCCAGTCAGGAGACCCGAGGCTGTGGGGACGATCCAGTGGACATCGGCCCGGCTCGAGAAGCCGAAGAAGAAGATGCCAATGGAGAAGGCAACCCCTCCGGCTATGACGGACGGGAGACGCCACTCTGGAATAGGAACACCGTCGTTGGCCGCCAGCTTGCGATTGTACCAAGGCTGTTGAAGGAGCACGACGATGCCGGCGATAAACTGGCCAATGATCATTCCGAAGAAGGCGAGGCCGGCGATGCCCGAGGTCATGTGGTATATGCCCTGGAAAACGAAGGGGTAGGCAGTGAGGAACAGGTACAACAGGCCTATAGAAATAGTCAAAGTCAGCAAGGCCGGTCATGCGGAACGGCTGGGGGGTGATAATAAGGTAGGCAGTAGCCAGACGTACCGTAAATAAAGGCCATGTAGACAGAGAGGGCGGTGACGATGGGCTCGAGGAAGAGCAGGCGCATGGGCCTCGAGAAGTTCTTGCTGATGAGCTCTCGCAGGTCAACCTCGATCTCCTCCTGCTTGGCGTGGATGCCCCAGTTGAGGGTGCGACGGCGCAGCTCGGCGGCCTTTGCGACCAGGATGGTGGGCGGGTACGTCTCCTCCAAGAAGAAAAGATCGAGCACGAAGGCGACGAAGCCCATGATGGTTGTCAGATACATGGTCCAGCGCCAGCCGAGGGACGACTCGACCATGAAGCCGCCAATGAAGGGGGACATGAGAGGGCCGGTGAAGACGGTCATGGAGAAGAGGGTGATGGCGACGCCTCGGGTGCGATTGTCGAACATGTCGGAAAACACGGCGGCGACGACGGCGAGCGGGCAGGCGCCAAAGAAGCCCGAAAAGAAGCGGCAGATCAGAATGGTCTGGATGTCCTTGGCCGTGGCCGTGGCGATGGAGAAGAGGCTGAAGCCAAACATGGAAACGACGATGGGCATACGCCGGCCTTTGAGCTCCGAGAGGGGGGCCCACAGCGTTGGACTGTCGAGATAGATGTGTGGTTAGCAAGCTAGCCTAGGTATCGGGTATTGGTAGAGCGGTGCCAAGCTGGACTAGCAGCTGGCCGAGTGACTTACCCAAAGGCGAAACCCAGGACGAAAAAGGACACGCCGAGGAGGCCGACCTCGGTAGACACGTTGAACTCGGCGGCCACGGCTCTTGTGGCGGCAGAGAAAATGGAGGACGCGAAGGAGGCCGTCATGGTGGTGTAGCCAAGGATGGCGGCGGTGACGAGCTTCTTGTTGAGGGACCAGTTCTGGGCGTGCATGGGGTCGTCGGGGCCGTCGAACTCGACCACGTACTCCTCGCGGTCGGGCAGCTGCGGAGGGAAGGGCTTACCGGCGCCAAAGGCGGGCAGCGGCTTCCTGGACTCGCGGCTCCGAAGACTCCTACCGATGGTGGCGCTGTGCTGGCTGCGGGCCGTGTTGATGCGGCTCAGCTCGGTGGGGTGGCGCTCCAGGTCGGCCTGCGTCGACATGCGGCTCATGCCGGCATCAAGGACGCCGCCAGCCCTGTTTCGCCTGGCCGAGGAGCCATCCGAGGACGCTGTTGAGACGGACGAGGCCGAGAGCACGCGCTCTATCTCGTGGCTCTCGCGGCCGTTGTAGCGATCGGGCGACGCCTCCCGCGCGGCTGCGGAGAGCTCGCGATCGACCTCGTTCATCGCGATAAGGGCGTCTCCTGCAGGCGAGTCTTTTTATGCCAGGTGATGGTGGGTGGGTGGTGGTCGTTGCTGTAGGGTGAGTATCTTCAGCACTCGGCACGCACACTCGTGTAGGGTTGTTTGTGTACAGGGTCCCCCAGATATAATGCGATCTGATGTTATAGGGATGTGTAGTTGAAATTGACGTCTACTGCCCGTGCGGGTTGCGATATGACGGTGCGGTGATGGGGAGACAAGACACGCAAAATCTACGTCAATGGCGAGAAGGGGCGTCTTGGTCCTTTTTATTATTGTCAACATTGCATGCTACCCAGCAGGTACTGTACAGGCACGGGCGGCGGGGAGGGGGTAGTATCCGCCGGCAACCGGACTGCAGCCGTGATGAAGAGCCAGGAACAAGCGGGCCAGGCCCTGGCGAGAAACACGACAGTGGGAATTGTCACTGCCATGGCCGAGGGAGTCGGCAAGTGGAGCTGGTGGCGAGCAGGGGCTGGCACAGGCACTGGGATGGACATGCTGGCTGGGCCAGATGGTTCGAGAACGCGTGAGCACAAGGGGCGGAAAAAAATCGAAAAAGACTGCTTCCAAAGCAAAAACCCGAGCCTGCAGGACGGACCTTCCGAAGTACAGTACTGGGAAGCCGACCCTGGCCGGGATCCAGTTTGGATGGGTCGTATTGTCAATTGAAACTCTGGCGGCCCCACCGACGTGACCGATGCCACCCATCGCCTTGACGTGTTGCCATTGCCATTGCCATTGCCATTGCCATTGCCATTGCCACCACAGGAGCACGGCGAGCAGCGTCTACCTCGGGTCGACTCTCCGATTTCAACCCGAGCCCCGCGGGTAGCGAGGGACTACCTGCAGAGGACCGAAAAGGGACCGCATTAGGGTAGTGCAAGACATGAATGAATCAGGTTTGTGCGGTAGCATGAGTAGGAAGTTGGAGGTGGAAGGTACGTAGCCTCGTAGCGTGGTAGCAGGTCATGCCCCACGAATTTGACCGACATCAGATGGAACATTGGATAGCGACTGGACCGTCGCACAGCGGGCACAGCGCACAGGCACGCAAGGGTGTGATTACGTCACGCATGGCGCCGCATGTGCTCTGTAAGCACCCGCTGCACGACTGCACCAGCGGCGCATGAGCGAAACCTAAAAAAAGTGCCCTGATGTTTGTAATGGTGTGCCGCCATATTAGCCTAGCAGCTGTGGACGGATTTGGGACGAAACCCCTAATGCGGATCCCAGAAAAAAAGATTGGCCCGAGAAACGCAAGAAAACCGGTGCCCACCTATCCACAGTGTCTAGGCATCAGATGACAAGCGACATTGCGATCCAGAAGGAAAAAAAAAAGCACGGCTGATGGATCTTGATGGCATCCCGAGGCCGCGCCTGAAAAAATAAATCTTTGTCCTTCCTGGCTCCACAAAGGCCCGCGTTTTACCGTGAACCTCTTGTGAGCGGGCCCGCATCTGATTCTGCATACATACATAGCCCAGAATCTAACCACCACCTGCAAAGAGCGGGCCGCGTAGCCACAACATCTACGTAGGCTCTAATGCGTGCTCAACAGCAGTCTTGGCGCCTTTGCCGAGACCAGCGGGCTCGATGATCATCCGCGTCGCCGAGCCGGCCTTCTTACCGAACTCCCCACCCGTCGCGCTCCAACAGACTGGCGGCCTCTTCAAGGCTCAGCCCTGCCGTCTCCGGGTACATCTTCCACACCAGGAACAGGCCGAGCGTGCAGATGGCCCCGTACATGATAAAAGTCCACGAGGGGCCGAGCACGTCCATCAGCGGCAGGAACGTCAGCCCGATGATGAAGTTGGCGAGCCAGTTGGTACCCGTAGCCACTCCGCTCCCCGCGGACCGCACGCCCAGCGAGAACAGCTCGCTCTGCATCCAGGGCACGTTGCCGAGCCCTATCGCGTACGACCCCACGTATAGCATGATGCTTATTAGCACTACCACGGCCGCACCCTGCGGCGACAGTCCCGATGGTGGTGCCGGCGGCGGCGGTGAGGACTTGGATGGGAATATGGAGATAAAGGAAAAGCCATACGCGGCAAGGAGTAGCCCGAGGATCATGAAGGGAAGTGAGCAGAGCAGTATGCGTCGCCGCCCGATTCGATCCACCAGAAACAGCGCCGCGACGGTGGAGACGAAGTTTGTCACGGCTACTGTCAACGAGGTTAGCGTCGGCGAGGCAAACCCCACCATTGTAAAGATGGTAGCTGAAAAATACATCAAAGAGTTCTGCACGTGGTCGCTCCTGATCAGCTAGCTGAATGCTGTGGGAGAATCGAGTGACTTACAAATCCACAAAGCTGCTGTAGGCCCTGAAGGAGACAGGCGATGGCGAGAGCCCGTCTGTTTCTGCCAACAAGAAACAGCTCTTTCCACGTATCCGTATCTAACCACTGGGGAGCAAAAGACGGGCCAACATGACCTGCCCGGGCGCGGAGCCTTGTCTTTCTTCTGAGCTCCGCCTCATCGCGGACCCCGATTTGAATGTCCTTGAGGATTCGGTCGGCCGCTGCGCCGGAGCCCAGGCCGGCCCCGACCGTCTTCCGTATGATGACGAGCGCCTCGTCGGACCGACCGGCCCGGACCAGCCACCGGGGCGTCTCGGGCATCCCTATTAGCAGGACCGCCTGGACGACGGCTGGTGCGGCGCCGAGGCCGACCATCCAGCGCCAGCCCGAGCCCCTGTCGCTATAGTGCTCGGCAAAGGCCCACCCCACGACGTAGGCGACCACCTGGCCGAGCGTGATAAAGAGCACGTTGACGGTGACGAGGCGGCCCCGGTGCGACGCCGGCGCCGTCTCGGCGATGTAGAGCGGCACCACGAGCGAGGCGGCGCCCACGGCGGCGCCGACGACGGAGCGGCCCGCCACCATGGCGGCCACGGTGCGGCTGAGAGCCTGCAGCAGGGCGCCGGCGGCGAAGAGGGCGTCGGCGAGCAGCACGACGCGCCTGCGGCCGAGCGCGTCGGCCAGGGCCGACGAGAAGGGCGACACTAATAGGGCGGCCAGCGCGGTGCACGACGTGATGACCGACTTGTCCAATGACGTCAGCTCGCGGCCCGACAGCGAGTCCTCGACGGTCACCAGCGTCGACGATATCACGCCCGTGTCGTAGCCGAAGAGCAGCCCGCTCAGCCCGACCGAGACCACGAGCAGCCACACGAACAGGCTGGGCGGCTCGGCCGGCGGCTTGGGCGCCAGAGCGTCGTGGTCATCGTCGTAATCGTCGGCGGCGGCGGCGGGCCCGTGATCGGGGTACGGCGGGCCGGCCTCGCCGTCCGAGTCGTCGTCACGGTGGTCGGCTCTCGAGAGCAGCGGTGCGTCGGATCTTGACGTCATGGCAGCGGGGGCTGCGTTTCATTGAAAGGTGTCTACGGTATTTTGTATAGCGACTGTCTCGCGAGCCGGCGACAGACAGCCAGAAACGTGTGCATCGAGCATCGTCAACTTCGACACTGCTTGGTCGTCGTCGGCCGTCACTCATCATTGTCAGCTCCACTAAAGCGAAGCCGTGGACGCGTGCAGGCTCGTGCCCGTTCGGGCACGTGGGACCCAGGAGCCCCCCTGCAGCCGCCGTCGAAATATTCCCAGGGGTCCTGGCGCTTGGGCCGTGTGTTTCAAGGAGCTGGCTCCTCGACGTGGTCCCAGCGTCACGCCAGCCAGCAGTCGCAACGAGCCGCCCAGGCCCAGGCAGCCGGGGCCGGCAGAAAAGGGGTGGTGTGGCATCTTCTGGAGCTCAAACAGTGCTGATTTTTGTCTACGCTCGCTTTTCCTCGTCGAGATAGCTACTATTGACGGCGCTTCACTTCTTTTCGGACCAGCGCGAGTCGTTGGGTTTTCATAATTGATTGAGTTTGTCCGTTTCGTTTTTGTCGCTATCGTTCCATCACAGTCAAGACCAGCACGATCCCCTGCCCAAGCTTGCTCGTTGCTGCTTCTCATCCGACATCACCACCATCACCACACCCAGCCAGGTAGCTACCTTGGGAAGAGGACGAGAAGAGAAAAACAACTATAAGAGAAAACGCGAGAACATACCATACTCCTTCCACCGCCACGATGGATGCATACAGCCGCCCGCCGCAGCGCCACTCCTGGTTCGCGCCGCTCTCGATCGACCTGATACTCAAGGTGCTCTATGTCACCTTCTTCCACCCCTTCGTGGCCTGGATGGTGCCCCTCTGCTTCCGGGCCGAGCACATGGACTACAGTGCCCCGCCGATGAGGGTCTCGATGGCCTACGCCAGCTTCGTCACCCTGTGTTGGTTCCTCAGCGCCGTCAACAAGCGCATCGCCTTTGGCATGCCGCGCGACGTCGACCTGTCGGACGAGGTCATTGTCATCACTGGCGGGTCCAGCGGTCTCGGCCTACTGATCGCCCAGGTCTACGGCATGCGCGGCGCCAACGTGGCCGTGCTGGACATCAAGGAGATGGAGAACGGCGAGGCGCGCGGCGTGACCTTTTACCAGTGTGACGTTACCGACAAGGCCGCCGTCGCCCGCGTAGCCGGAGAAATCGAGCGAGATGTGCGTTGAGAGGCAGCCTTTTTCTTGTTCTTTATCTCGCGCACCAGCTGACATTTAATTCGTACCGTAGCTCGGCTCCCCCACGGTCCTGATCAACAACGCGGCCATCGTCACCGGCAAGTCTCTGCTCGACATGGAGATGGAGGAGGTTGAGCGCAGCATGTCGACGAACCTGCTGTCGCACTTCTACACGCTCAAGACCTTCCTGCCCGCCATCATCCGGGGTGGCAAGGGCGGCACGATTGTGACGGTTTCGAGCGTCATTGGCCAGCTGGGATCGGCGCGGCTGACCGACTACGCGGCGGCCAAGGGAGGGCTGATCGCGCTGCACAAGTCTCTGACTGCGGAGCTGCGCCTCGCGCACCCCGAGATCCGCACCGTGCTGGTGACCCCCGGGCAGCTCAGCACGCCTCTCTTCTACGGCGTGCAGACGCCCAACGCCTTCGTCGCGCCCGTGGTGGAGCCCGTCGAGGTGGCCAAGGAGATCATTGCGGCCATCGATAGCGGCAAGGCCGAGCATATTGGCACGCCCTTTTACGCCCGGTGGTGCGACTGGTACAATGTGCTCCCCGTCGGCGTGCAGCTGCTTGCCCGCCGCATCACGGGCATTGACCGTGCCATGGAGACGTTTGTTGGCCGCGCGGGATCCCAGCCTGGCACCGAGAAGAAGTGAGCGGATGGGGCTGTGTTAATATGCCGTAGCACAAGGCGTGACCGGGAGGCAGAGACAAAGGGGCAGTCTGGCACCCTTGGGGCCATATGATATGTACAACAATTCAACGTAACCCGACCATGACAGCTAGTTAGCATGTATGCGCCGCACACTGCTTGGATGACTGCAGCCTTGTCGGGATGTGGGAAATTAATTAACCTAGGTTCTCCGAGGAAGAAGGGTAGCATGAAGAGAGCATGGGCAGGGGGTGGGATGGGGTGGTGACTCGCCTGTCTCCCCCACACTCTCGACGGGCGCGCGATGAGTCTATACCTTGTGTAGCAGAGGCGACCATCCTCTAGCCGGGATCCGACCCCGCGCGATAGGTTGGCGAGACGGGAAGCTAAAAGGAAGATAAGAAGAAAAAGCAAGTCCCGACGCGCCCACCCCCCCCACCCGCCTCCAGCTGCCCAGCTGGCGAAAGGGGCCAAACAGGACCCAGCTTCCTTATCTGGCCCCCACTGGCCTCGGCGATTTATCTTGACTGTCACGCATTTCTTCATGGCGCCGGTGCCGTGCCCCCCTATACGCCAACAGCCACCTACTTCATCCATCCAAGGGGGCGCATGGTTGGCTCACTCGGACCCGGCCCAAAGGCGGAATAAGTAACAACGAAAGACGACCCCAAGACCCCAAGACCCCAGAAGGATCTCCATCCATCCCGCTCGTGATAGGCAGGCGGGCTTTGGAAGAGGAGGGTGGCTGCCTTTTATCTCCTCACGTCTCCCTCCTTCTAATCAGCACCACCACACCACCCTGTTGCTCGGTGTAGCAGCAATGGATTTGTGGCCCGCCCCTTCTGCACCGCCGAGACGTCGTCCCATCCGCTATCTGCTAGTCTCGCGTACGAATATATGCACGAGGCACCCTTTATGCAGTCGCTTCGACTCTAGAGGAGCTATAGGGGCCATGTCCGCCATCTGAACTCTCTTTTCTCTCCCCCGCCGCCCCGCCCGTGCCCATTGCTTCCACCAGGACCCGCGTGCGCACTCTTCAGCACAGTCGATGGGACCAACGTTGGGGCAGAAGAAAGCGAGGCATTTTGCTCCGACTGAGCCCAGCACCCCGCGCTCGCTCTCTCGCTAGGCTCGTGTGAGCAATGGCTTATAGCTGGAAATCTGGATAGATATTGAGGCCACGGCTACTACCTCGCAGGTGGAAGCAAGCAAGAAGAATAAGAAAAGAAGGGGGCGGTCCGGAACCCCCTCTTTTAGCCTAATCTCTCGCACGGGGCATCTGGACCTCGCTGGGTCGGCCCGGTCCCCTCACTAGGACAGCACGGACAGCAGACCATGTGGTGGGACGTGTCCCGGATCCAGACTACTGTCACCAGGCAGTTTGTCTGCTCGCACCTCGGCCCCGAGGACGCCGACCGGCTCGACCGGCCCGTGGGGTTCGGGGGCGGCCTGACGGACGGCACGTACTGGGAATGGATCGACGGCAAGGCCAAGCGCATCTTCCTCGTGCTGCTGGACCTCGGCAGCCCCGAGCACATCTTCTCCGTCATCGACGACTCGTGGGACGACAGCGACCTGCCCATCGCGCTGGACCAGGTCCGGCGCCTGGGCCTGGCCGGGCCGGCGAGGGACGAGCGCAGGTTCTACAGCCGGCAGTTCCACTACCTCGTCAGGCCGCTGCGCAGGGGAGAGCACGTGGTGTACTCGGAGTCCGAGGTCGTGCCAATAGACGTCGCCGACGGCGGTAGTGGCGGTAGTGGCGGTAGTGGCGGGCAGGCGGCGGCGGACAGGGTGGCGCTGCCGGGGTTCCCCGACCACGTCTTCTGCCGCCGGCGCATCCCCATCGGGTCCGGGCCGGGCTGCCTGGCGCACGAGGACTTCCAGGCCGAGGCCGACCGGGTGCGCGGGCTCTGCAGCGGCCACCTCGTGTCGTATTTTGCCTCGTACGTGCACCGCGGCTGGGGCTACGTGCTCCTCACACCCGCGAACGACGCGACCCTCAAGGCCGTGCTGGCCGGTACGACGCCGCCGTCGCTCAAGGCGCTGGACAAGACCGCGCGGCGCGAGCTGGTGATGAACTGGATCCACTGCCTCGTCGACACGCTCTGCTACATCCACAGCCGCGGCCTGTCGCACGGCAGCGTCAGGCCGTCCAGGGTGCTGCTCGGGAGCGGCAACCACATCTCCTTCTCGGACCTCACTAGGTTCGATCCCGAGCTACTGGCCTCAGGGGCGTCGGGGGATCAGGTCCGTGGCGGCTTCGACAAGGAAGCGTACGACTACGCCGCGCCCGAGCAGTGGTTCCGCCCCAGCTCGTCGCTTGGGGCGGGCGGCGCGACTGTGCGCAAGGGCACGCTGACCTCGACCACGAGTTCCGGCTCCGGCTCCAGCTCCAGCTCTGGCGTGGCCGATGCCTTCAACGCCCCCGAGTCCTTTTCCATTAGCCGCAGCTGGCCACAAGGCAGTAGTAGTAGCAGCAGCCCGACGCAGCAGGCGCCGACGCCGCACCTCGACCCACAGGCGGCCGACGTCTTCTCGCTCGGGTGCGTCATCCTCGAGCTGCTCGGGTTCCTGCTCAAGCGGCCCTCGCGCGCCTTCGCGGCGCACCGGGCGGCCAAGCACAAGCTGGCCGGGCGCGGCGGCGCCGTGCTCGACTCGTCCTTCCACCGCAACCTGGGCCAGGTCGAGACGTGGATGACGGCGCTGGGCCGCGAGGCGGCGCGCGGCAGGGACTCGCATGTGCTCCGCGGCGTCGCCCCTCTGCTGCGCGTCGTCGAGCGCATGCTGGCCCCGCACCCGGCCGACCGCCCGCCCGTCCGCGACGTCCAGGCCCGCACATATTGCGTCCTGACAGAGGCCTGCGGCATCCGCGAGCCGCACTGCGTCCACGCGCCCTACAGAGCCTATAGCATCGGCGGCGGGCTCAAGATGGGCGTCGTGGGGACGGGAGGCGGCGGCGACGGAGGCGACGCGGGCGATGCCGTGTCCATCGTTATACCGAAGCGCAACAGCGGCAGCGGCAGGCTGTCTTCGTCCAGGAGCCCCGAAGGCCTGTGGGATGGACAGCAGCAGCAGCAGCAGCAGCAGCAGCAGCAGCAAGAGGCGTCCTGGGCGGCGTCGCCGCCGGCATCGCAGCCGCTGGGGCTGGCGGGCGGGCTGCTGGCGATCCGAAACTTGCAAATCAGAGACAAGGTGAGGTCACGGTCCACCTGGCAGGCCCCTCCTCCGTTTGCAGGTATGGCCGTGGCCCCTGTGCCCGTTTCTCATGGCTCGTGCTCAGGCTAGCATGGCTGACATTTCTGGCGCCATCTAGCAAACCTGAGTGTGTGATTTGGGTTTTATTATCCTGAGCTTTGTATCCCTGCTTTCTCCCTGGACTTGCCGTTGCCTCTTTTCTTTGCCTCTCTTTCTCTCTTTCTTTAGATACCACAGCATTTGTGTAGCGCCCAATTCCACTGTTTTTGCTATTGGTCAGCCATATCGGCACCTGCATCAAGCCGTCATGGATCGATGATCCTGCCAAGCTTTCCCTCTCTTGAGAATCCAACCCGGAGAAATGGTGGGGTATCCGCCGCCTAAATGTATGGTCTGGGATTGGCATCTCGAATGACCTCCTTTGTCGGCCCGTGGCCTTTTCAGGTCCGGCCACCACCATGTGAAGGACGCCGGGCACCCACACACCTCAAATCGACTGTAGACGTGCGTCGGGAACTAGCGCTGCAAGCGGTGTGTGTGTTTCGTCTCGGACCTGGGATTTGCCTCGCGTGTGACAGGCCCGCTGGGCTGGTGCCATTTCTGGAAGGGCAAGTGAGAGGTGAAATCTCCAACCGATCAACAAAGCAACACCCGGCAAAACAAGTAATCTGCAACGGTGCAATGCCAAGCGGCCGCACTTGGCATGTCAGCATCTAGTGCTGCTGCTGCGGGTGTTGCCGCTGTCCTTGGTCGTGTGTGAGAGGTACCTAAGTGGACGCCAGCACGCATCTCACTGCGTCCTCAGGAGGAAATCAAAACGGCAGCATGGGACGGCGCAGATCCATCCGTGACAGTGACCCCATGCCTGTCTCTCTCTCGGCACTCTCCCACGCTCTCCTCCAATCCCTCCTCTGTCTGCCTTCCGGCCGAGGGCATCGCCTGTCGTGCAAGGCTATAACACGAGCCCCTGGCCATCGGCTGTTGTCCCAGCCCAGCCTCCCGTCCCCGTGCTCCCATATCGCGGGAGGAGGCGGATAGACCCCTTATACAAACAAACACACGTCCCCCACTACACCCGAGCAAAAAAAAAGGGTTTACGGGCTCTCTCCCTCCCGCCCACTGGCCCTTTCCGTGTCTTGCAACTTCTCTCGCCCGTCTCCGTCTCCACCACGCAGACGCACCCCCGCCATAGACGAGCACACGGCAAGCTTCGGGTCTGTTCAGAGAGCACGCGCATATCGCCATGTGGCTGTCACGCCTCGTCGTGTTCCTGGTCGGCTCGGCCACGGCTCACGCCCTGCCCACCGTGACTGCGTACGGGAACAAGTTCTTCACCAGCGAGGGCAAGCAGTTTTTCATGAGAGGCAAGCACGCTCCTCCCATCCAACTGGTATATCTCTTGTCCTATAAGCTAACACCGGCACCACACACAGGCATCGCGTACCAGCTGACCGAGGGCGACCCGCTCGCCGACCCGGAGCAGTGCCGGTTGGACGCGCAGCTCATGCAGACGCTGGGCGCCAACGTGATACGCGTCTACCACGTCGACGCGGCCGCCGACCACCGCGGCTGCATGGACGCCTTCGCCGCCGCTGGCATCTACACCCTCATCGACCTCGACACCTTCTCGACCTACCTCCTGACCGCCGCCGGCCCCGCGTGGACGACGGCGCAGCACCGGAGCTACGCGGCCGTCCTGGATGCCTTTGCGGGCTTCGACAACGCCCTCGGCTTCTTCGTCGGCAACGAGGTCATCTCCACGACGGCACACTCGCCCGCCGCGCCCTACATCAAGGCCGCCGCGCGCGACATGAAGGCCTACCGCGACTCCAAGGGGTACCGCAAGTTCCCCATCGGCTACTCGGCCGCAGACATCGCCGAGCTGCGGCCCATGCTGCAGGACTACCTCACGTGCGGCGGCGACCCGGCCCTGACGGTCGACTTCTTCGCCCTCAACTCTTACTCGTGGTGCGACCCGTCAAACTACAACCGGTCGGGCTACGACGCCCTCCAGGCCCAGGCCGCCAACTTCCCCGTCCCCGTCTTCTTCTCCGAGACGGGCTGCAACGTCCCCGGCCCGCGCCTCTTCGACGACCAGCAGGCCATCTTCGGCCCCGAGATGGCCCGCGACTGGAGCGGCTCGCTCGTCTACGAGTGGATCGAGGAGCGGAACCACTACGGCCTCGTCAGCTACGGCCCGCCCGCCGCCCCCGACGTCCCGCCCGCGACCAACGTCTGGGACGGCTTCACGCGCAGGGGCACCCCGACGCCCATCCAGCCCGACTTTGCCAACCTCAAGGCCCAGTGGGGCCGCATCCCGCCGCCCACCGCCGCCGTCGCCCGCGCCGACTACTCGCCCTCGCCCTCCACCCGCCCCTGCCCGGCCGCGACCCCGGGCGGCTGGCTGGTCGACGGCAACGCCCCCTTGCCCGCCCTGGCCGAGGCTCCCGGGGGGCCCCTCCTCCCCCGCCCCGACCACCCCCGGCGGCCCGGACACTGCTGCCCCGACCCCGGCACCGCCCGCGACCACGTCTACCCAGGGCGGTGCTGCCCCGCCGCCCGGGGAGTTTACCGGTATGACTGCCGCCCTCGCCACTCTCATGCTGCTCTTTGTCCTGTGGGGTTGAACCGAGGGCTGTGCTTTCTGTCGAATGCCACAATAACTCTTGAGATCCTTCTTCTCTTCAAAACGGGACCAAGAAATCCCAACGGCCTTGGTAGGTACCTTGCTTGCATGAATCAGCCACGGTTCTGAATAACTTGGCATCCTGAGGGCACTTGGTCTGGATATGATATGAATATGGCGCCGCGAGAGCGTCATGGCGATGAGATAGTTGGGTAGCAAAGGGGCACAAGAGACGCTTCAGGTTTACACAAGGCGATATTCAGACGCATAAACACATGACTGGAAACAAGAGCCCCAGCTGCCAGCCACGCAGTGTTTGCCTTCATGGCTGTAGGGCGCAGAATAGGGGCCACCAAAGCTGGCCAGATATGAGACAAAATGTATCGGAATCGTCAATGACATGAGGACACAGAGTGAATTTATCTATCCTACCAGCCCTTGAACGGCAAGGGAGACAACAAAACGCCAAGCAATGCAATAACAGCGATAGGATAGGGCCGATGAAAACCACGCGTTTCTCGCCTCATGCACCTGGCCCAGCACGCGCCTGCTCATTTCTCCTTTGCCAATATCATCTTTTCTCTCTCGGCCTTCCGCTTTTCGAACTTCTTTTTTGAGTGCTTCCGCTCGTTCTCCTCCCTCCGCTTGATCGCCTTGAGCTCCTCGTCCTTGATCTCGGCTGCCTTCTTGACCACCTTGGGAATGTGGCGGTGGTTCTTGATGCGTCGGATCTCGGGCATGTGGGCGAACCGCGCGCTGAGTGCCTCGTTGTATTCCTCCGCCTGTCGCTGTCTTGCCGACTTGATACCTTCCCTCCTCGAGGCCTTGGCTCTCCAGAGGCGGATATTGCCGTCGTCGGAGCCGCTGAGCACGTATTTGTTGTCCGGAGTCCATGTGGCGGAAAAAACTCTCTGCATTCTCTTGGCTGCATATCGGCGATTTGAGTTAGTCTCCCGCCTCTAACGTAGGCCCTCACGCCCGACTGGACCCATCCACGAGCTGACTTACTGTGGTAGATATCGACAGAGTGACCCTTGTCCTTCTTCCAGAGCCTTATTGTACGGTCATAGGATCCTAGGTTCGCGAATGTCAGTCACGAATCTCCGTAAGCAATATGTGATCACCTGAAAGCTTACCTGAAACAAGCTCTTCACCATTGGGAGAAAACCGCACGTCCATGACGGCAGCAACATGCCCTTTTAGTACGTTCAAAGCGCGATCAATCTTTCGCATGTCAAATCTGCAAAGAGAGGCATGTGTCAGCAGAGACTCTTGCTAAGCAGAGCTCGACAAAGATCAGGGGCACAGGGAGAGGGCGACAACGCACATGTAAATGTTGTGATCCTCGCTGGCCACAGCAAAGTTAAATGCTTCCATGGGGTTCCACGCGATCTTGTTCGAGGTAAAGTTGAGGACAGTCTTGTGCAGCGGCGTCGAAGTGCGGAGATCGTATCTAGGCCGCTCAAGGGTCAGCTGTGTGTTTCAGTCAGGTCGTCGTACTCATGTCACCTACAGAACGATGCCACGGTCCGAGGCGCATGATCCAAGGATGGATTGCTCCACCTGGTTGAAGGCGACCGAGTTGATGGTGTCGGTGGACGTGGGCCAACGCAGGACCTCGGGGGCAGCGCTGTGGCGTTCCAGATCGTAGACCGAAATGACACTAGACGATGCTGCGAATGAGTTGCGCGAGCGATGGTGTGAGAGGGACGTGAATGCGTTGGTGCCCAGCCAGGTGGAGAGAGGAGCCGAGTTGGGGGCCTGTTCGGGGGAGAAGAGCTTGATTGTGCGATCGGCAGCGCAGGTCAGAAGCTTCTTGTCCTTGGTGAAGCATAGGTCCTTGACTATGTTCTCGTGTGCAGTAGTGTGCCACTGGAGCGAGTCGCCGTGTTAGTGATTTCGGTGTCTGCGCGCAAGGGGGTATGAGGAGGCACTAACGGCTTCCTCGCGACTAGTCAAGTCCCATATCTTCACAACGCCGTCGGCGCTCCCTGATGCCACCCGCGAGAGAGACCCAGGGTCCATGGTCATGGAGAAGACCGAGTCGACATGGCCTTTGCCCAGCTGGCAAATAAAAGGGGCGGCGAACATGCTATGGCATGTCTAGCATCAGCATCGACTGGCCGAGGAGCCAAGGGGGATTGGATCTGGACGGACCGTTCTAGCTTGACAGCATTGAGGGCGCGCTGGTACTCCCTGGCCCTCTCGAAAGGATGGAGGGCCGGGTCGACGTTCTTGGGCTTCCTGGCGACATCGGAGCCCGCAGGCTGCTGGGGGGCCCGGCTTAGACTAAGGTGATGCGCCGTGAGGACGTCGGCGGTTGGTTAGCTGGCGAACAAGCTCAGACGTGGTGCAAGAGAGACTCACGCTTTGACCTTCATCGTTTTGCTGTGCTTGGTAACCCTGTGTGAGGCAGCGCCGACGTTATGGCGACAGACTTTTGCCCAGCAACATTTGATCGTGAGGAAGCCCCGCCGCTGCGATGGATGGCTGCAACAGGGGTATGCAGAGCGTCGCGTTCGCAGGCGGTTCCACCGATGCGCCAAAATTTTGGCGGTCAGCAAAATTCTGCCGTAAACGGAAGGCTGGAGGCAGGGGCAAGGTTTATCCGACGGGGCTGGCCTTGCCCCCCAGCTCGTAGCTTATCATTGACGGCTTATCGCTCAGCACGGTGCCCCACCAGAACCTTCGCCGGAGCCTTGGCGCTTTCGTGTGCGGCTGGAACCTGGACGGACAGCACCGCTTGGAAGCTGTGCCTGGGGATTGAGCTCAACACCAACCACTCACCACCACGGCCACCACCACAGCCACCACCACAGCTAGCAGCATCCTGGCCCACGCAAAGTCCCAGCAACCAGCGACCAGGCCGCGCAGCCCACGACAACGCAGCCTTTCCCAAACACGAATCGACTCTAACCGAAGCTCGACAGCTCCCGACGACCGCCCTTCCAGGCAGCGCCGGCGCATACGCAGCACGCGCACTCGCTAGGAGCCTTCGGCCCCGCCCACCGACAGCTACCCAGCCGGCTCTCGCCGCGTCCTGGTCCGGATCAGAACGCCAACCACCTTGTGGACTCGACATTGGCCATTGCAGACGCTCGATCTACTTCAAACATGGCTGCCGGAGACTCACCGAGGCTTCGCGAGGCCCGCGAGGCCACCAAGTCGAACCCAAAAAAGGCCGAGGACATGTACAAGGAAATCATCTCGAAGCCTCCATCTGTCAACTCAGACGATGCAACCCGCGAGTACGAAACTGCGCTGATTAGGCTGGGAGAGCTGTACCGAGATCAGAAGTAAGTCGGCAATTGAGGGGCTGGGCCCAGGCTCTCCCTGTGCTATCGAGTCTGCAGGGCTATGCTGACCTTTCGCAACTGTAAGAAACTCTAATGAGCTTGTCGATTTGGTCACAAGGAGCCGGACAGTGCTCTCGTCTTTTGCCAAAGCGAAGACGGCAAAGCTCGGTATGTCCTTGTCTGTTGCGGCAACTCTATCGGTGGCGCTCCGTTTATCTAACTCGATCGACGCACGCGCACAGTCCGACAGCTTCTCGATCTTTTTGAGAACATTCCCAACACGACGGACCTACAGATCTCGGTCACCAAGTCATGTATAGAGTGGGCAACGTCGGAGCGGCGGACGTTCCTCCGGCAGAACCTTGAGACGCGGCTTGTGACGCTGATGATGGCCAAGCAGTCCTACTACGAGGCCCTGACACTCATCAACGGGCTCCTGCGCGAGCTGAAGCGCCTAGACGACAAGCTGGTGCTGGTTGAGGTGCAGCTGCTCGAGTCGCGTGTTTACCACGCGCTGGGCAACATCTCCAAGGCCCGCGCCGCGCTGACAAGCGCCCGCACCAGCGCTGCCTCGGTCTACACGCCACCCCTGCTGCAGGCCAACCTGGACATGCAGTCGGGCATGCTGCACGCCGAGGACCGGGACTTCAACACCGCCTTCAGCTACTTCATCGAGGCTCTGGACGGTTACCACACTCAGGACGAGCCGCAGCGCGCGACGGCTGCCCTGCAGTACATGCTGCTATGCAAGATCATGCTGAACCTGGTTGATGACGTCAACAACCTCATGACATCCAAGCAGGCCGCCAAGTACGCTGGCCAGTCGCTCGAGGCCATGAAGGCCATCGCCCGTGCCCACGCGAACCGCTCGCTCGAAGAGTACGAGCAGTCGCTGGCCCTCTACCGCCATGAGTTGGGCAGCGACGCTTTTGTGCGCTCCCACTTGCGCCGACTCTACGACGCCATGCTGGAGCAGAACCTGATCAAGGTCATTGAGCCCTTCTCCCGTGTCGAGATCGACCACATCGCCAAGATGGTCGGCCTCGACACCCAGCAAGTCGAGCGCAAGCTGTCGCAGATGATCCTCGACAAGGTGATTATCGGCGTCCTTGATCAAGGCGCCGGATGCCTCATCATCTTTGACGAGACCCAGCGCGACGAGGCCTACGACGCGGCCCTGGCCACGATCGAGAAGCTCAGCAGCGTGGTCGACGTGCTCTACACCAATCAGGCATCCATGCTCGAGTAGGGCCCCGCGCGCGCAAAAGCAGGTGTTTGGATCCTTGGGCCGGCTGCGACGTTGCTGGTGCTTCTATTTCTTCGCCTCGTGAGGCATGCCGACCAAGTTGGGCGGTGACGGGTTTGCGTTTGTAATAGTAGAACAAAGTAGCTGGCGCCGTGCTCAAGTTCATTGAATGGGTCATCGCGTTCGGGACTGACAGTCTGATTTGGAATATGTCTATCATTACCAAGGTGATTTGACATCCTCCGACGGTAGGTCGCAGCTCTCACAACATAGCCCATACCTCGCTGTCAAACCTACAGACCCTGTCACTATACAGCCGGCTTGGCTAGCTGGTAGGTTTCTTGATGCATAGTCGGCAATTGACATGAAAGTTTTGTAAGGGCCCAGTCAGGGAGGTTACCGTATCTTCACCTGTTATGTGGTAATTATTCGATCGTGCTGCTGATAGATGGGGCCATGAAGGCATGCCGTGGCGTTCCAGATGCCCAGTCCGACTCCAAAAGGATCCCAAAGCAGGTTTCCAGAAAAATACACATGAATTATAGCAGCACAGAACGCCGACCAAAAACCCACCAAAACCCAACGATGCGGCTATAAACGACAATCCAGTAGTCCCAGCAACCAGACAAAACTAGATGCAAACGCACATGGAATGCAGGGACATGTCGACAGGGAGGTACAGAAAGCTCACAGAGAACGCCGTCGATGCCAATTTTCAAAAGACTACCCGGAAGGCATTGCCGGGAAGTAGAAACAAGGGGGTAAGGGAAAGCCAACGCGGCCCATGCAGACGCACAGGGGAGGGAAAATGAAATCCTCGAATACGGGGGTTTGCGCGAAAGGGGCCATGAGGCTGGCTTAACTGGCCTGGCCGTTCCGCATCGCGCCAATGGGCCTCAGTCGTCCGCCCTTAGCGGCCCGGCGCCTCTCCTCGCCGACCAGCAGGGCAAAGAGGCGCTTCGAGAGCACGTGCTCGTCCCAGACGCAACCGGCGCCCAGCTCAGCCCGGAACGCGTCCACGACGTCGAGGTGCCACTGATCCAGCGCCATGGTCTCGCCCTGCGCCGAGACGTGTTTGCCCAGGAGCCCCGCCGACCGGCGCTTCTGCGAAACGCTCACGCGGTGCTGCAGCTGGAAGTTGAGCGAGCCCTTGCGGCGCTCCTGCAGCAGGGCGTCCATCCGGACCCAGTGTGCCCGGCTCCATTGTGTTTGCGACAGGCGCGATGCCGCGGCTTCTGGAGCGGTCGAGGCTTTCGTCGGGGGCGCCAGCACGACAGACTGTCGCAGCGCCGTGATGGGCTTCGGCTGGCCTATCAATTTTGGAGGGTATCTACCCTTATTGCCTTTATCTCCCTCACCCCCGGACGGTCGCTGCATGTCTGTCCGCACAGGTTCCGAGTCCAATTCCATGGCATCACCACCAGTCGCGGCTTGCGGAAGACCGTGGAGTCCCCGGGCCTGCTCGAGTGCAAGAGGCGAGAGAGTGCTGCTTGTGAACTCCACCACCCGGCCGGGCGTCTTAGGCTTGAGAGGTGAGCGGAGGCAGGACTTGGTCGGAGACGCCGCCCGGTTGGGTAGCGGTTTTAGTGTTGGCACTACGAAGCTTGATTCGCCCTCGTCCGAATCATCGGCATGATTAGGCACATGACGGCTCTCGTCCCGTTCGGCTGTGTCCTCGACAGACGCTTTGTGGCTGGCGGCGCCGGGGCCAACTGGGTCAAACAGCCAACCACCGGAGCTGCCTGAACGCGGCGCAAAGTTGCGTTTTTGCGGCAGTTGTCCAGAGGGAGCCTTCGGCGGCGACCGCTGCGATAGCGTCGATGGTCGCGGTTCCTGGCTGGCTTGCGGCTGGCGAGGCGGCGCAGGGGAGAATAGATCCAGTCGACGTTGGCCGCTGGGCTGGAATGCCTTCTGCGCCACCGAGGACGGAGGGTTCTGGCTTTGACTCACAGACCTTTCCGCAACGGATTCGCGCGCCACTGACTCCCGTTGAGGTGGGACCACCGATCCAAAGAGCTCCTTGTGACTGTCTTCGGCAGGCTGCGTTGGAGTGGCGTCATCAGGAGCGTTGGTCGCGAGGGGTTGGATTCGAGGCACAGTAGCGGGAGACGAGAAGAAGTTGGATAGGTCAACTCTGGCAGCTGATGTACGAGCAATCTGGACCGGTAGTGGCTGTTCATGACGCCCAAGTAGAGATGCCTGAGCCAAGTCCCTCTCCTGCACCGAAAGGAGCGAGAACTCTTCAGACTCACTCGCCACTCGCGGGGTTGCCGTCTTTGTCCAAGGACTGGGCACCTTGGCTCGGCTCCATAGGTTGAGAGTTGGGTCTTGAACCGGTTGGGCCTTGGCCGGAGATGGGGTCGGCCGAGATGCCTCAAACGCCCAGATATCATCGTCTTCGTCGACCTCGGGGGGTTCCGATCCACGCGGGGGTAAATGGTCTTCCTCCATAAGCACATCAGCAGTCACGTTACTCTCATCATGGCCACTGTGTCGACGCCATGTATCATTCATGTGACCCAAGGCTGGACCGCTCGATGACTTGGCGTTAGAGGCAGTGAGGCCTTCTGCCCGTCCGCTCCCGGCGGCCACCACGCTTTCAGGAGCCTCCCAGTCCATGGCTTCTTCGGCGCCGTCCCCGCCTGGGCGTGCTGGATTCACGGCCGAGTCTAGAGGAGGCTCCTCCAACGGAAGGGATGACTTTTTCGCTCGCGGGATGGCCTTCGGGCTTGGCATGTCCGAATCTGGAGCAAATGGGTTCTCCGCTGAGGTCTGAGGAATCGCGGCTCGCGGCGAGAACATATGTGCCCCCTGAGAGACAAGGCTTTTGATTTGACTGAGTGGATTAAGGACCTGGGTCCAGGATCTCTCCGATCTAATCACAGAGGATGGCTCGGGGCCCGCATTTCGAGTTGGAGGCTCCGGTGAAGGCTCCGCCATGACCCCTGGCCGTGCCGTGTCAGTACCTTCCATGTCTCGGGACACCGAGGATCTGAAGGGGCTTCCCAGAGTGCTCTCTGCGCCTTTGGGAGATGGCGGGTCCGATGTGACGTGCTGGAGAGCTCTCCCGACCCGCACTATTGGCGATAGCGCAGGTCTAGTAGAGAAGGAAGGTAGATCTAAATTGTCGGAATGCCCGTCCAGGTCTAGCTGCGGCGGGTTTAGCGAAGATCGGGCAGCAGCCTCGGGGCTTTCTGATGTGTCCTGCCTCGTCTCCCGTGTGGCAATTGTGGGATTTGAACAACCGGTCTCATCGATCGACGAAGCTCTACGCGCCGGTGGAGAAGAGCCCAGGTCGTCGTCTTGTGCATCGTCGTGTGCGTCGTCCTGGGCGTCGTCTGATGCCATCTCTGCACCCTCCGACTCTTTCCCCAGGGGCTCTTCGTCAACCGGTGGTGGCGTCTCATCTGGTGTCAACAGCTTCCTTGCGGTATCTGGCAGAGGAGCAGAGTCTATCACCATTGGCGCTGGCCCGTCAGACTGGGCCTTTCCATCATTGTCTATCGACCCTTCCCCGCCTTCAAAGCCGTCGACATCGTTGCCATCGTGGCTATTGCCGCCATCGCTATCGTCGTGGCTGTTGTCGCCATCATGGTCCTCGGCCATCCCCTCTACCTCATCCTCATGCTCCGATACAGGGTCTCGGTGTTGTCCGAGTGGTCGTGGGGTTACGGCTTCGAGCACAGCCTCGGGGATCTCGGAAAACGAGTCGTCATAGACACTTGCCTCCTCATGAGCCGCAGATACCTCTTGGCCACGGGAGGCGAGCGGAGTATCCAGCAGCGACTCGTCCCTTCTCAAGGACTTCAGAGCAAGCTGCCTGCTCAGTGGTGTCACGTTTTTCCCCTTCTTTGGGCTTTCCACCCGCGTCCTAATCGTGTTCTGGCTACTCGCGGGAGCCGGCGACGGTTCGTTTCGGGGAGCGTCAATAGGGGGGCTGGGCTTGGGGGCTGTGGGTTGCCCTGCAGGCGCAGTCGCTTCGGGTTCGACAGACGAAAGACCAACATCACTGGCTGGTCTCTTATCCGGCTGCGAGGGCTGCTGGCTCGGTGGATAGTGTTGATTTTGATCTGTCCTGCCCTGCCGGATGGGCTCGAGCGCCCTATCGACAATGAAGCTGGTGGCATCTCCCATCTCTGGAAGCGCGGCTTCGGCATACTGCATGCTTTCTCTAAACGACACGATCGAATCCATCATGATCATGCTGAAGTCTTCTCCTTGGGCGATCGTATCCATATCGGCATCGCTCCTAGCAGCCTTCTCAGTTGTCTCAGATTCGGCATCGCTCTGGTCGGCACCCGAGGCCACATAGTCAACCGACGCTCTGTCATCCTGGCTGGAAGCCTCGGAAACTGGTACGTCTGCCGCTTTTGACGGCTCCTGCGGACTCGAGTGACGTTCCATATCCACCACGCTGCTAGATGCCCGCCATGAGTCGGCAGGTGGGCGTGACTCGGGCACGGCGGCAAGCCATATATCTTCGTCGTCCATGGCATTACCACCCGCGCCATCCGTTGATACATTGATTGAGGACAGCATCGTTTCGTCTGGGCCGAGGCCCTCCGCCGTGGGCTCCGTCGGAATAACAGAGGGAATGGTCTCGATCAGTGTGTCTTGGTCGGCCAGTGCTTCCATCTCGGCCGGGACCAGAGCCTGCCGCCGTGGGCGGCCCCTTTTCTTCACAGTCCCTGTATCCGGGGGCGGTCTCGTGTCTTTTTTGGACGGAGTCCTGGCCTTGCGTCCTGGTGTCTTTCGAAACTTTGCGGTTGGTCTTGGCGTTGCGTCCATGTCTTCGCCGCCCGTCTCGGATGCCGAGTCGGCGGTCTCTGACCGCAAGCGACGATTGCGCTTGGGGCTGCGGTCGATGGGGGTCCCAGCCCTCTTTTTCGCTGACGGCATCGGAGTGCCTGACTTCCGCGGTCTTCCTCGCCTGCGAGGTGTCGCCGTGCCCGGTACTGGCTCACGTTCATCGTCTGTGAGGCCCCTCAGGGGGATTGTGGTGGTGGTGGTGGTGGATGTGGTGAGATCGCGGCGGCGGGCAGCAGAACGCGGACCGCGAACGGCGGAGGATGGGAAGAGGCGGCGCGTGACGTGATCTTTCTCGCTACCCTCCGCCTCAACAGTGACAAGGATTTTCTGGGGTGACAGCTCGTTGCCGACGTCAAGCTCAAAGGTCTGTTTCCTCGGAGAGCTGGCTGTCGACGACTGCCTCTGTGACCGTAACGAGGACTGGTAACCTCGTACCATGCTGCGTGTGACGCGGGCCACAGAGCTCGGAACGACATCGTTGAGCGGATCCGGGGACGACATGCCGTCCATGTCCGCGTCGGCGAGTGATGATGACATGGCGGGTGGTCTCGTTAAGCGACGATGCGCATGTGCGCGTTCGGTAGCATAGGCGCAAGAGATCTGTCGGTTCGAGGTGGCCTAGTGGCACTGACTGACCGGCGGTTGGGGCTGTGGGAGGTCCTTGGGTGAGAAATATGCTCCGGGGTGACCTATATGTCACGGCGTAGTGTATGAAAGATTTCCAGGCAAATATCGATGTCGCGACAGCCAATAGTGCAATCACATATCGAGAACAGGGTCCCTGGATGTTTGTTTACATTCCCGAGTGGTTGTTACCCAAGTGGAGCTTAGCCCTTGACGCAACACCGCAACTTTGCAGGCCCAACTCCCGCTTGGCAGGTGACTCAGCTATAAAGCATCACGTGGTTAGATGACATCGTTTCCAACCCGTCCAGCAGTCAAAGGTGTTGGCGATCGCCGCACACGGAATTGATGAAGAGCGCATGGACTTGCACAACATACCTGGGTCGATGTAAGGAACAGTTCCGTGCCTGGACAATGAAATAATACCAACAGCATCGGTACGAACCGGGCATCACAGCACGAACCATCTGTGAAGTTCATATGCCGCAAAATTCGGTTAAAAGACCAGTCCACAATGTGGCAGGGCAGGGATGAGATTCGCGACAATCTGCAATTACGGGCATTTTGTTTGGCATCGCAATGAAAATCGTCCTTTTCATAACCAAGTACCTACCGGGTACGTACCTAACCTCCCTAAGACGGGTTATACACATGTCCGTTGTGTCGTGATCAAGGGCAGATTCCGTTCCCCAAAACAGTGGAACCCCTGTACTCCATTGTGGCCATCCCAACCGTCGCCAGAGCAATGGCGACATACTGACGAGGTGAATAGGGAGAGATGATGTCACGAGAATGAAACAGTGTGATAGTCAAGGAGAATTACAGGCGAGGAGATAATGGGAAATCATGGGTGTAGTAATGCAACCAAATGTTGTGAACATCTATGCGGGGAGAGGAAACAGAAGAAACAAGAAAAAAGAAGAACAAAGCAAGACAGAAAGCGGAGTGTAGGAGTGTTTGCTGACACAAAAGACAGCAAGACAAATGACCAAAAAGCACCGACGCCAAACCGTGACCATCGATTCCCTAACTGTTCCGTAAGTAGTGGGATATTTTATGGCTATCCAATAGATAAACTGCCCCCCTCGACTATGCTGTTTCATCAGACTGGACCTGATTAGTTTCGCCGTCGCTGTGCTCTGGTATTGCTACCCTGTCGAACCATAGCGACGCCCCCTTGGCTGCTCTGGCGACTCATCGGGCTGGCGCCCGGGGCTGTTGTTGGGCCAGCCTTGGAGTTTGGAGTCGGCGGTCCACGGACGGAGCTCAGCGGAAGCTTCAGGTCGGTTCGGAGGTCTTCAGGCGAGTTTCTGGGTCCGTCCAGGTAGATGGCATATCGATCTTCGCGCACGTTGAAGGCAGTTGCCTCTAGCACTTTCCGGCAGCCGTTCGCGTTATCGAAGTTTGAGCCGACGCCGTGGATTTTCTCGTACTGTCGCAGTATGTTCATCACCATCAGATCTGAGTTAACCTCCTCAGGGGGCAAAACGGTTGGACTGTTGCCGTCCTTGTTGCTATACGACTTGGCATACGTAGCCAAGAACATTGGCGGTAGCTTGGGCACTGCCGCCGCCATCTTCTCGAGATTCCCTGGAATCTCAAAATTGGTGAGCGCCTCCAACCCCACAATCTTCTCGTCGATGAAGTTTGCATTGTTTGCACCGCCTCGGCTGCGAGTGGCATGTGACGGAACTCGCTCCATCATTGGGGCCGCAGCGATGGGCTCGTTCCCGTCCTGGTCGCCGTCGTCGTTCTCGCCCGCATCGCTATCGTCGGGTGAGCCATGGCCGCCAGAGCCATTTGGTTTAGACTTGCTCGTAAGCAGGTACTTATGGGCAGCCAGCGCAGCAGTGTTGTACTGCATCGCAAGCTCCTTGTCTGTGAATAGCTTGTCGATGCTATATATAGGACCAGTAGCTTTCCGGGATACAAGTCGGTCGTTCTGCCACATAGGTGTAGTGTTGTTGGGATCAAGGACCCGTCGCTGGGGCGCCGGTGAGCCATCGTCGTCTGCGCCGTTTCGTTTGCGTTTCCTGCCGTCCGAGTAGCCGCTCGCATCGTCGGCATTTTGACGGAGTCGGGTAGCTCGCTTGGTGTGCGTGCCACCAGGACTTGCGGGATTCGTGATGGAGTACTGGTTGGGATGCAACAGCAGCGCAGAAGCGTCGGAGATCTCGAAAGCCTCCTTCTCCTTGGTTAGGCGTGCTCGCTTGGAATTTATGGCGTTGATGAGGCGGTCGCGAAGAGTCTGGGACAGCGCGCGGTGCTCACGCTTTGCGACCTCGGTTTTGTAGATGTAGACGTTGCGGTGCTCGTGGCTCTTCATGTCGAACTCGTCCTGTGAAGCCAGGTCAGCGAGTGTTAGCTAGGTGATGGCGCTTGCGATAACAAGAGCGCGGATTGTCGAATGAGGCATACCTTGTGGCGCGTCAGCTCAAAATCGCGGCGTTCCACGAGATCCTCAATGGTGTTAACCCATTCCTGGAACTTTGGACCAGCCATTTCAAGGACGGTCCTACCGCGGAACTGAGGATCGATGTTGTCACTCATGCTCTGCTCCCGGTCTATGGCAGCAAGTGGCTGAGCAGCATATGGGTCGACTTGCATGACCAGCGCTGTGTCAACTTGGATCTTGGCCAGCATTTCGCGGTATTCCCGGTCACGATTCATATCGAACTGCTCAGAAAGAGAGGCGAGACGGTCGATAAGCAGCTGTCGCTTCTTTTCTCGCTTTGAAAGCGTGGGAGGCGGCGAAGGATTCGAGCGTCTGTCGGGCTTTGCGTGTGACGCTTCTATAGGTTCGTTGATTGACATGGTAGCGGGTCGTGGGCGAGCCCACGCAGCTGGCCGAAATACAAGGGAATCGAGCGAGCGTGTGTCGACAAAGTGCGTTGGTGTCAAGAGTATCGAAGAGGACCAGGTAGTGCCTAGGGTACGGGAGGCTCGGCGTCACCAGAGAGAACGGCCGTGGTGTTGTAAGCGAGGAGAGGATGTGAAAAGCGGAGGAACTGCGGCAGCCGAAGAAGGCTCGTCAGCGATAGGGACAACAACGACTTAGACCAGTGAGTATATAGGCATACGATGAGGGGAATCACTCTTGGTCTGACGAGAAAAGCCGTCTGGAGAGACAGTAGCAGCTCCAGCCTTGAAAAGGATCAAGATTCAGAAATGCGCCCAGCAGATCCGTGTCATTCGGTCCGGCTACTCGTCTGAGCAAATCCAGGAGGCGACGGGGCGCAAAACAAACACGGAGTAGGGATTGGGGGGATGTGCGTCCGATAAAGAGGTATGCGGAAGCCAGAATCCAAAGGAAATGGGGGAATCATCTACCTTGGAGTCAACGCTCTCGGCGGAGACTAAAGGCGGGTGCGGCAAGCCTGACGCCGACGACGATGTAGGCTGGAAAAGCACTTTTAGCAGCGGAGACCGTGCGGCAGGCGAATTTGGTCGCGAAGCCCAGAGTCTCACTCCTGCGGGCGCTAAGTTCCTATCCCCCGCTAAAGCCCCGTGGTCGTTGTGGGCCCTTGGCAAGGGATGGTGTAGTATGATTGGTTTTCAGAACCCTGCTTGCGGAAGCCAGAGTGAAGTACCTCCCTGATGGAGCCCCACGGCCCGGCTGGGCCAGTTGCAGATGGCCAATGCGTATGGATTTGCTGTGCGCAGCTTGTGTTCGCCGCTGGATCGCAGACGGACGACCTGGCAAACGCGAGTGAGCAATACGCAGTCGACCCAACCACGTCCACCCCGCGACCGGAATCGCACGCCACAATCAACGGATCGAGGCCGACAACCGCCCTGCCACGCGCCGATGCAACGGCACTGACCCCCCACGCCGCACGCTGCTCCCCATGACTTAAATGGAGAATCTATCACTCTCAGATGCCCCTCACCAAGGGGCCGGTCCGGCGCCCGGAGGAGGCGCTATCCAGGGACATGCTGGACGCGGACCTCCGCCTCCCTCTCTGCCTCCGCAGGCGCAGTCGCAGCTCCCGGCCCAGATGTTTACGACGGCCGCTCAGTTGCTTGATTTGACAGACAGTAAGTCTAAACGTGCTTCCCACATATGTTGCTACTACGCAAGCAGTGACCCTTCCTATCATACATGGACTCGCTGACAGCGGTACCTACCACCACAGAAAAATTGATGATTGCGTTGCGCGATGGGCGCAAGCTTAGCGGAGTCTTGCGGAGCTGGGATCAGTTCGGTATGGCTGAACCACATCCAGCCTGCGGGCTGATGCTCGCGCAGAGATAGGGCTCTTTTTGTTGACGATAACCAGCAAATCTTGTCCTTCAGTCCACAACAGAGCGACTCTTTGTCCCACCGGGCTCAACCACCGGTGCTCCCGAGGATCGCGGCCTTTACGCTGACATCCCTCGTGGCCTTTTTCTCGTCCGAGGCGAGAATGTGCTCCTGCTCGGCGAAATTGACCTCGACAAAGACGACGATCCGCCTCCTGGCTACGACAAGGCAGAGCTATCACTTGTGGAGGCGCTCATCAAACGGCGTAAGGCCGAGGAGAAGGCTAGAGAAAAGACGCGCCTTCGCAAGTTGGCTGGTCTTGGATTCGAAGGGGAGAACATGGGAGAAGTCATCTTCTAGCCTGGCATAGCTGGTCGCAAGGGCGTCGAGATGAGCTTGCCACCACATTCGGGCGCGCCAAGGAGGCCATGCGCATGGAGCACCCAACCAAGCCGATAACCAAGCCGAAGTCTCCAAGATACACGAGCCAGCCGTTCGTGCTTATCGTCAAGAATACGGGGGCGGGGGGAAAGCGCAATATGAGGATGGCTTTGAAGGGTTGGCGTAGCGCCTAAGTTATAGGGCCTGTCGCTGTCCCGAGAAGGAAAATGAAACGGGGGTTCGGCCAGCAGAATATTGTGAAATGCAGCCGAGCCGGGGGATATCATGGTGGTAGATCAAACGCAATGGATTCTAAAATCTACAAGTCGGAAATCAAAGCGACAGATATAACGACTTCTAGCTCACATGGTAGATTCAAGCTACCATGAGTACCGACATCCAAGATTGTAGTTGATGAGATGCCTTGATTCACGCACCCCGCGGTTTATGCTGCATGCCGAAATCATGGCAGTAACTATATTGGTAGGCACCGCTGAAGCCACCGGGCGGCTACTGCGGGCGGTGTTACCTTTGGCAATTGCACCCTGGACTGAGAAGGGATAATGACTGAGGCTGTCACACCACCCACAAAAAAATGGCTGTTCCTTCGAGGAATAGGAATAAGCATAAGTACGGAACTAAAATAAAATAAAAATAAAATAAGAATAAACACTCAAGTGAAAACAGGAATAACAATAGAGATATAAAATAAAATAAAATTAAATTAAAAAAGAAAAATGGTCTTTGGCACATCCTGTCAGACTGCCATCCTCTGTGGTGCGTGCCACCTAAGATCCCTGTAAATGTTCAAGCGGATGGAGCCGATGTGGACCCGCTAGGCCTAAGGAAAGGAAAATCAATTTTACGTCAGCGCCGTGGGTGCTGTCACGTGTCTGTGCACGTGCCAACCCCACTGAGCAGCCTCCACGGAAACTTTCTAACGTGCCCGCGACGGCGGCAGGGCATTTCTATCTGGCCGCGTTGCGCCGGCTTTGGCTACTTGGGTACAAAAAAAGTTATAACCACGGGGCAATTGTAAAACCGCTATCCCAAGCGCTTTGTTTTTTTTAAAGTTAATCCTTTTTATTTAAACCTTTTTGGTTTTATTACCGGGAGCTTTTTTTTTTCGTTTGTATTCGGGTTTGCCGGGGCTTTTCCCCGGGGTGCGGAACTTTTGCCTTTAATTCCTTCCTTTTTAACGTATAGCACTTTTTCGAGCTTTAAAGCTTTTAACGCTTTTTCCACGTCCGTTCGAATTACGGCATTATAACCTTTTTTATGCCAAACGGCCTTTTCGCTGCTTTATATTATGGGGTTTTTTTTTATAGCGTTAGGACTTTCCGTAGTTCGCATTTGGCCGTATGGCCAACTTTTTTTTACTTTTTTGCATACGCAATGCTAATAACCGTTAAATAAATGGTTGGACTTTTTGTAATACAATTCGAAATTGCCGTATTTTATGCTTTTTGCTAAATAAATATGTAATTGGCTTTGGTAATCCCATTTTATTATTAACCTTTACAATACGTGCTTGCAAAATTTGGGTTTATTAATTTTTTATTACGCCGCGGGGTTAGCTTGGGCAAATTAAAATTTTGGGTTGCTTTTGGAGCGGGTTGCTTTTAGCTTTTTCGGGGGGATTTTTAAAAATGTTGCTATTTGCTTGGCTTTGCGGTTTACTAAGCTTAACGGGGTAAAAAATTTTTTTGGCGTAATTTCGAATAGCTTTAATATGCGCGTTAAGTTATTTAAATATTAAAATTTAAAAAAAATTAAATGGTTAACCGAAAAGGTATGCAAGCGTTTTAAAACTTTTTTTTTAATTTTTTTGTAAAAAAACCCGGCCGCCCAATATTTTATTAAAACCGGGAACGTTTGTTACGCGGGTATTAATAATTTTAAAACCGGGCGGGTAGCTTTTTTTAATGCTTTTAATTTCCAAACCGTTTATTTATCTTAAATTTTACGGAATAAAAGCTATAACCCGTACGATAGCATTGGAAAAACCCCGTTTTTAAACCACGCTTTTGCGGCTAAAAAGCGGAAGCTTTGGTTAACCGCGTACACTTTTTTCGTTAATGCTATAATTATTTATGCTTTAGCCGTTTGTTTAACTATATTGGTTGTTATGCTAATGCTTTTTCGGGCGTTGCATTTTAGCGCAACTTTAAATTACGTTACTTATTATTTAACGTAAGTTTTATCGCCCAAAAGCTATAATTAGCGAATGCGTGGTTAAATTAATTTGCCGGCCAATTTTAAACCGCCCGGGGGGTATACAATAATTCGGGTTTGCCTGGGTTTATACGTAAGCTTGCTTTTTTTAAATCCTTATATAGTTATTATGCAGCTTTCGTAATAATTTTAGCCGCAAATTCGGGGTTTTTGTAAATGTTATATTAAGCAATATCGTTTATATACACGTACGTTATTCTTTATGCCAAAATGGGGGGGCCTTTACAACGGTAGCAAATACTAATGCAAGCAATATAAAAAATTACGGAAATTTTTATAAAAATCCATTGCTAGCACCGAATGGCTCGTTATGCTATTTAAAACGGTACCGTTTGTTTCGAACGAATAATTTTGCCAAAAATACCGTTTCCGGGCGCTATTTTTATGCTTGCAATGCCGCAATTAATATAACTTTGTTTACCGAAAAAAACGTTAATTTAACGTTATATATTGCTAAAAAGCCGTGCTTCCTTTGCTTTTTAGCTTTATTTGCGTTAAATACAAAGCTTATTACGAAATTTTGCGCCGATTTTAGCGGAAAAGCTTTTGTTATGTTCCGGGGGATTGTACCGCTGGCTATTGCCGCTTTTGCTATCCTTTTTTGCATTAACCGCTTTAATTTTTTCCCAAGCATTAACAACAAAATAATTAACTTTTACCCGTTTATTATTTAATGGTTTTGCTTTGGTTTAAATAACGTTATTACCGTTGCGGCTTTTTACGCGTTAAAAAAGCAACCAAATTGGATTGCTTTTATGCATACCGTTTTAAAATGCTTTGCTAGCATTTCGCTTTATAATTTTCGAAAGTTGCAAATTGTTACCCCGTTTGGTTCGGGGTTTGTTAACGTTTTAATTAAAAAAGCTTTTTTAATTTTTTCGTTTATTAAATTTGCGTATACCGCGTTTGTTACGCTTTGTAATATTTAGGTTGCGTTTTGCCGTATTTTAAAGTTAGCAATTATTGGTTTTGGAAACGCGTTTGTTGTTAAAGCTACCGTAATTCCGGTTTGGCTGGTAACTTTTCGCCCGTTTACTTTTAACATAGCCGGGCAATTATTTAAATTCGGATTTTTTTTATTTAAATACCGGCCCCAATTCGTTAAATTTAGCGTTAATTATTAAGTTTTGGTAATGTTTTCGTTTTGCTTTTTAATATTTGGCCCGGAAATGGGCTAAATCCAATTCCTTTGCTGCCGTTAGCTTGGGTATTTATTATTTAGCTTTTAGCTTTGTTAAATGTTATTAATTTATAATGCGCACCGTGCTTTGTATTACGTTATGTATGCGTTACGCTTGTTTTTCGAATTGTTCCGTAATATGTGCCATTTTCGGGGGGGGGGGGGGGGCCTAAATGGCCGCTTATTATAGCTTTGGCTGCCGGCACCACGCTTTCTGGAAAGTACCATTTTAGCGTTTTCCCTTTCGGTAAAGGGCCTTTTATTAAAACCTCGATGGTTTTGTAATTAAATACTTAATATTTAAGCTTTGCTAACGCTTTCGGTAACCCGAAAGTTAAATTAAGCATTTTGCTTTGTCGGTATATCGGCTTTTTATTTGGATTAAAAAAGAGCATTTTTAACTTTTTTATTAAATTTGCTAATTTTTAGCCTTTACTAATTTATTCCGGGGCGCTGCCCTAATTTAAATGTTAAACGTTAAAATTACTTATTAAACCCTTATTTGCTTCGGGTTAAATTTGTGTTAGGAGCACGGGCGAAACCGCCCGGCAAAAAGCGGGGAGCGTTAAATGCACGGGCGAGACCGCCTGGCAGAAAAGGAGGAAAGGGGCGCTGGCAGCCAGCCGGGCACGGACCCCCCGGGAATATGCCAGCGAGTTACCGGTGTCGCGGCCAAAGCATAATGGCGAAATTAAAAAATAAAGTAAAGTTTAAATTGTACGAAAGCGTTTGGAACGCGAAGGATTTAAAAAACCGACCCCGGGTGCCCAAAAAGGCACGAGGAAAGGGAAAGTTAAAAAAAGAACAATTTTTATTGGCGATAGCACCTTTGGTAGGAAATTTACGGAGGCTTAACAAAGGAAACACTTGTTAAGGGTTAATTGGTGCAAAGGCGGGTAATTACCGGGTTACGGGCCGGATGCGGTATTTTCTTTATTAAGCTTCCGTAAATCTTTTACCAAAAGTGCTATCGCCAATAAAAATTGTTCCTTTTTTAACCTCCCCCTTTTTCGTACCCTTTCGGGCACCCGGGGTCGGTTTTTTAAATTTTTTGCGCTCCAAGCGCTTTCGTGCAATTTAAGCTTTATTTTATTTTTTAGCTTCGCCATTATGCTTTGGCCGCAATACCGGTAGCTTGCCGGCATATTTTTGGGAAGTTCGTGCCCGGCTAGCTGCTAGCGCCCCTTTTTTCCTTTTTTGCCGGGCGGTTTTGCCCGTGCATTTAACGTTTTCCGCTTTTTGCCGGGCGGTTTTGCCCGTGCTTTTAACATATTGCCTTTTCCCGATACGGCTTGTTTTAAGCCGTTTGTACCGCGCGTACAACCCCGTAAGTAGCCGGTAACTTACGGTATTCCGCTAAACCGCCCCAATACCCGGCAACGTTTGGGAAAACCGGTTGTAAAACTTTGTAGCATCCGGAAAAGTGGGTCCGTACCGGCATATAAAAGGCTTTTTTTCCCGTTCGAAGCTACAAGCCCTTTTTTTTCCTTTTTATGCACCCAATAACCATTCCAACAACTTTAACGATCGTAACCGTAAGTAATTGGTATTTAACCGTTCTTTTTAAATACCTGGACCTAACCGGTAACTGCAAATATTATTTTTCGTACCCAATTACGTAAGGAAAGTAATGTTTTTTCGGGTATCCGTTTCGGGTTTTTCGGTTCCAACCGGCCCGCTGGCCTTTCCTAGCGACCCCCCGGTATTTTTCCCAATTATTATAATTTAGTCGAACTTGGATTCGGTTTCGCCAAAACCTTTAATTTTTTAAATTTTTAACAATCGCTTTGCCGGTAACCTTTCGGTAAGCCTTTTAAATATTGCGGGTCCATTGGGCCCTTTTGCGCTTGCAACCTTTTAAAACTTTTGCAAGCGTTTTACCGGTAACCCCCCGGCGGGTTTTAACCGCCGCGGCAAAAAAACCTTCGCCAAAAAAAAGCGTAAAGCGCGCGACGAACGCCGCCGCAACGCTTTCGATTTTAATAAATTTGCCCCCAAAACGGACATTGCTTTTTTTTCGCTTTATATAAGTATTCGCAACGCGTTCCCGTTGCGGGAAATTATCGATTTCCAATAAAGCGATAATTAAAACCTTATTTATTTGCCCTTTTTTAAAAATAATTATACGGAGCGTACGGTATTTTATAACCGTTATTTTGGTTATTAAGCATATTAAAATTATGCCGTTAACCCCCGTATGCCGATATATTCCGATAATTGTACGGGATTTTCCAAATGTATTTATTGCAAAAACGTAATTAACAACAAAGCTTGCGTTAAATTCCCCGAATAGTTTTAAAAAATGGCCCAAAATTTTTACAAAATTTTAAATACCGTTTACAAGCGATTGCTTAAAACGATACCGAAATTTTTCGAAAAGCTTATTAAAGTTTAATTTTGCGCCCGCAAAGTTATCCAAAAAGCCAAATCCTTTTATACTATATCGGCCGAACAATTTGCGCGTTACAAACGTTAAACCGTTATTTAAAAGCGCATTTAGCGCAAAATTGCTAACGCTGCGACATTGGAAATTATTTAAAATATTTTTTAATAACTTTACGTTATCGCCGTTTAAACGAAAAGGCAAGCTTAAATTTTGGCTAGCATCGGTAATTTTTTTAACAAAATAAAAACGTTTTTTAAGCGTTTCGAAAAAGGTATGGTTGCTTTTTTTAATGGCATTGCCGCTAGCTTTGCTACGATTGCGGCGTATTCGGATACCCAGGCTTACAACCGCGCGGTTTCCCGTAAGGGTGCGGCGTTCGTATTGGCGCCGGGAAGTGCCGCTTTCGGCGCCGACAACTTTAGCGGTAACGATTGTAACGCTAACAAAAAAAACGTAATTTCCAAAAATTTTAATTCCTTTGGATACGGCATTTAATTAATTTTTTTATATATTTTCCTAATTAATTATTAATATCCCTTTTTCGAAAAGTGGTTAATTTTAAATTTTTTTCGTTAATTTGTTATAATTAAAACTATAATTTTTTTCGTTATATTGCTTTTGCAATATTGCAAAATTTCGGTATTTATATTTACTAGTTAAGCTTTAATGCTTTAATAAATAATTTTAAAATGCTTTTTTTTCGCCCTTTTAATGGGTTTAAATACCGCCGATATGCATTTACCGCTACCCGAACGCTTAAGCCCGTCCGTTATACCATTCGGAAATTTTTCCATTTTTTTTTCGGGCAAGCAATAGTATTTTTTACTACAACGTACGTTTAAAATGCGGTAATTGCTTTGGCGTATTGCGTTAAGCATGCTCTTTACGGGCTTTCCAAAATGTGCTACATTTTGTATGTTTTTTGGAATTTAAATATATCGCACTATTAATTTAGGGCGTTCCCCGTATTATACCGTCCTTATTTAACTTTTTATTTATAAAGTACGATATTTTACGGCTATTACAAATTGTTTACAAGTTTTTTTACGTTTTTCCCCGGTAGCTAGCCGGTTTGGTACGTTTAAAACATTTTTTTGGGCCATTTTTTTAGCTTTTATCATTCCTTTTTTGTAATACCCCCGTTTTTTCCGGGTATTTACCCGCTAAAGTCCGGTATTTTCCTTATTTTATAAGCTCGCTTACAATAAATTTGCTTTATACGCTTAAACAATTTTTTTCGTAATATCCTTTTTTGGGATTTACAAATTTTCCAATTCGTTGTAACTTATTTATTTAATTAGGTATTTTCGTTTCCGCAAAAGCCCTTTGTATTTTAACAAAGCTTTTACTTTAAAGCAATCCTTTTCCTTTTTTTCGATTTTTGGCTTTTTATTTTTTGGTTTTTCGCCGGGCTTTTTTTTAAACGCCCGCAACAAATTTGTTAGGAATACGTTATGTATTTGGTAACTTACCGAAAGCTTTAACCGAAACGCCAAACCGGCTAACCCAACCATTTTTAAAACTTGGAAAGGTCCTAACCATTTGTTCGATAGCTTTTTCGACGGCCTTTTTATTTTAATGTTCGCCGTATTTAGCAATACCCAATTGCTTACCCCAAAAGGCACCGGGGTCCTGCTTTTATTATAGTACTTTTTGTACATATTATTTGTTTTTTTAGCAATTTTTTAGCTTGCTTTTTAATTGTTTCCAAAGCCTCCGCTTTAATTTTAACCGTTGCCAAAGGTTTTTTTTTAATTACCCGAAAGTTATAAAGCTTTCGTAAGTAAAACCCCATTAGCAAAAAACGCCGGGGTTTTTTGCGATCCCGAATGCACGTTCGTATTGTGCATTTACGCTGCCAAATGCAATAATAACGCCCAATCGTTTTGCTTTTTTGTAGCAAAAAGTCAACCGGAAGTAATGCTTTATTGTTTGG